GCGGCGCCGCTGCCTCGTCGCCTTTCGCGCCCGCCCTCCCCTTGGGGCACCGACTTCGGGCCGCGCCGTGCTGTGGTGCCGGTGGTGCTGAGGCCCCAGCGAAACTTCCTGCCGGGTGTGAAGTCGGGCCTGTCCCCCCACAGGGGGATTTTCGACGAAATATATATATATATATATAAACCCAAACATACCCCAAAGAGGTCAAAAAATACTCAAGGAATAGTCCCCAGACGATTTTTGGACTACATTTTGATTATTTGTTTGGTATTTTTTTATTTTTCGTCGAAAATCTCCCTGTAGGGGGACAGGAGCAGTGGGTCAAAACAGAAAGGCTGGCGGAAGCGTGCGGAAGTAAAAGATGCGGCCCCAAGAGACGACAACATTGTTGGGTTCGGGTTCTCTGAAATCCACCAGGTAAGTTGAAATAAATACGGCCCGGCGAAACTTCTGAGGCCCCGACGAAATTTCCTGCCCGGTGTTTTGGGAGCAGTGGGTCAAAAAAGGAAGGCTGGCGGAAGCGTGCGGAAGTGAAAGATGCGGCCCCAAGGGACGGCAACGTTGTTGGATTCAGATTCAGGTTCTTTGGAATCCGCCAGGTGGGTTGAAGTGGATGGGGTCGGGGGATCGCGCCGCATCGCCGATGCATCGCCGATGCGTCTCTATGTGGAGTCCGATGTTCTCCACGCCGAGGTCGCCGATGCATCGCCATTGCGTCGCCGATGTATCCCTGATGCATCGGCGATGCGGCGTGATTCTCCGATTCCATCTACCCGGACCCCATCTAGGAGGCCTCTAACCACATGTCTTTGTGTTGAGTTCTCGCGATCCATTTTTGTCGAGCGAAGCGCTGGTTCGCCCCACCTGCTCGAGCAGCGCGCTGGTCCCGAAACGGTGCGGTGATGGACCCTGCTGTGAGGTCTTCACGCACTTCTAGTGCACCAAGCCGTGTCTCACCACACCTCTTTGGGACACCCAAATAGGGAGGGGGGGGGACGGGGGGTTCGATGTCTACTGCAAGCAGCTGGTTTCGGCTCCGCCGCCTGGCAGGTTGCCTCGATACAACGCCGCCCCCGGCGCTGGGAAAGCCAGATACGTGCAGTTGATTCGCCATCACCCATGGTTGCGACCCCCCAAAGCAAGCGTGCAGTGACAATCTCAGAGCGAGCGCAGCAGGAGTCGCAGCAAGCGATCCTACTAGGTCGAGCGAAGCGCTGGTTCGCCCCAGCCCGAGCTTCCTCGGAGCGGCAGACGCATCGGCATCGACATTCCTCCCGAGAGAGAGAGATGGAAGTCTCCAGGCCCATTCGTGAAGGTCCCTGCCGTTTTTCCGAATCCCCCACGCCTTTTATAGAGATTGCCCTTCTCACGGCACCCCCGTGCGCGCGCCGACAACCCCCTGCAGTGGTTGGCCGTCGATGTCGCTGCCTGGTTCTCGCTGCTGATGCCTCATCCGGCGCCAACGATGCGGCTTGTTGCCGCTGCCGCTGCCGGCGGCCAAGAATTCCGCCGCCGACGGCGGGAGAAACGCTAGACGCTTCGTGTAACCCCACCAGCCTGCCTAATTAGTCTCTGCGTAGCCCGCTTGGACCTGACTCGCCGCTGGCGCGCTCGCCCGCGGCCGCTGACTCAAAAAGTAACCCCACCAGCCCATCCAGACACCTTACCCAGACGAGTTGTCCTGATGAGGGATGTGGAGTCGAATGCCGTGGAAGAAAGGGATGGGTAAGACGTCGTACCCCAAGAGGGGGAGGATGGAGAAGGAATCGGCGGAGGAGCAAGAGGAGGAGGAGGACCAGTGTAAACCCAAGAGTCGCGAACGATGTTGGAACAGACACTCCCTCCAAGCTCCCTCCTCATAGGCCCCTACAACAGTTCATTTCCACTGAAGGGACTGCCCCGTTGGAAGACATCCGTTTGAAGACCCTGAAACATTCCCAAACATTATTCTCAGGACTCCAACGCCACGGATCAACCTGTCTATTGCGTCTTGACAACTCTGAATATTGCAAGAACGCCATTCCTAGGACTTCATTGCGAATCAACGTAAATGTGGCGCCTCATAATCCTGAATCTTTCCGAAGCACCATTCCTGGTACGTTGATCGTGGAATCAATGGTTTTTGTTCTGCATTTGTCCCCAACCATCCTGTGGTGTTGAGTCCTCGTTTGAACAGAGCGCCCCGCGTCCCTCATTCCTTCCTCATCGCCCTCCTCCCTCCCACGCCTCTGCCCTCCGCATGTATCTGGTTCGGCACACCACTCACACATTTCGTGGCCCAATAGGGAGCTCCACCGAAGGCCCCACTGGCAGGGTTTGCATGACGCCACCGAACCCATTTCGGCGCACCCCTCACACGCTTCGTGACCCCACAGGGAGGGATCTCCTCCGAAGGCCCCAGTGGCAAAGTTCGTCTGGCGGCTCCGCACCAGTCCGGCGCGCCCCTCACACGTTTCGTGGCCCCATGGGGAGCTCAACCGAAGGACCCAGTGGCAAAGTTCGCATGGCGGCCCCGCCCCATTTCGGCGCGCCCCTCACACGTTTCGTGGCCCCATGGGGAGCTCAATCGAAGGCCCCAGTGGCAAAGTTCTCACTGCGGCCCCGCCCCATTTCGGCGCACCCTTCACACGTTTCGTGGCCCCGTCGGGGGCTACACCAAAGGTCCGAGTGGCAGGGTTCGCATGGTGCCACCGCACCCAAACTGGGACACCCCCGACACGTTTCGTGGCCCCACAGGGAGTTCTACCGAAGGCCCCAGCGGCAGGGTTCGCATGACGCCACCGAACCCATTTCGGCGCACCCCTCACACGCTTCGTGGCCCCACAGGGAGGGAGCTCCACCGACGGCCCCACTGGCAGGGTTCGCATGGCGCCACCGCACCCATTACGGCACACCCCTCAAACGTTTCGTGGACCCACAGGGAGCTACCGAAGGCGGGGCTCACAATTGCATATGGTTGAACCAATCGTCAGGATATTTGTTTGACGAAAACAGGAGTGTGCGCGACGCTAAGGGGAGAGCCACATTTTGAAAACCACCCGCCCTCAATCCGTGAAGCTTTTGCAAAGGTTTAAATGCAATGCGCGCGGCGTTGAGGCGACAGCCACATTTAGAAAACGACCCGCCCTCATTCCGTGAAGCTCATTGCACAGTTGTGATACAGCAGCAACAACAACAACAAGCAACAAACGAATGTGCGTGGCGCTAAGGCGAGAGCCACATTTTGAAAACGACACGCCCTCAATATTTGAAGCTCTTGCAAATGTTTAAATGGAATGTGCGCGGCGCTGAGGCGAGAGCCACATGTTGAAACTCACCCGCCCTCCATCCGTGAAACTGTTGCCACTGTTTCAGCTTCAGGGTCATAGATGGTGAGGCAGTCTCAGGCGAAACGCCTGGCCCGCCCTAGAAAACAGGCCTCGGGGTGAGATTGGGAGAAGTTATGCACAAGGGAAAGGAATGGTGAAGGAGGGACGATGAAGGACGAGGAACAGGCGCATGAGGAAGACGAGGAAAGGGAAGAGGAGGGCGAGGAGAAGGGCCAGAGGCCTCTGGCATGCCTCTCGGAGTCTCTTCGGAGTTCGCTCAAACGTTTCTTGGAGTCCTCTTGGGACGTCTTTGAGGGTCTTGGCAGTCCCCGAGGCCCCTTGGGGCGTCTTGGATGCCTCTGGGTGGCCTCTTGCCGCGTCTTGCGGGTCTCTTTGGAGGCTCTTGGGGGCCTCTTAGGGTCTCCTGGGCACCTCTTGGGTCCGTCTTGGGGCACCCTTGGGAGCCTTGGGAGGCATCTTGGGGCCATCATGGGAGTGATCGATCAAATGAGGGGGCACTTTACTTTAGGGTCCCTCTCCAGGAGGCCAAGATGTGGATAAACCTCTTGGTAGCATCAGTAATGTTGGCCTTCTCGCCGAGACCTCTTGGGGCGTCTTGGGTGCCTCTTGGGGCCTCTTGGAGCGTCTTGGGGGTCTCTTGGGAGCCTCTTTGGGGCCCTTTTGGGGGCCGCTTGGGTACTTATTGGAGCCTCCTGGGCACCTCTTGGGGCCACCTGGGGCACCCTTGGGAGCCTCGGGGGGCATCTTGAGGCCATCTTGGCGGAGATCGATCAAAGTAGGGGGGCTCCTGAATCAGGGTCCCAGCCCCAGGAGGCCAAACCTGAATAACATCAGTGATGTTGGCAGTCTCGCCGAAGCCTATTGAAGCTTCTTAAGTGCCTCTGGGGGGCTTAGTGGTGGTCTCTTGGGGGTCTCTTGGTGCCATTTGGGGGGCCTCTTGGGGGCATCTTGTGGTCTCATGGGCACCTCTTGGGGCCATCTTGGGGCACCTTTCGGAGCCTTGGGGGCCATCTGTGGGCCGTCTTGGAGGTGATCGATCAGAGGAGGCGAGCTCCCCGATCAGGGCCCACCCCCCAGGAGGCCAAATTGTGGTCAAAGCATTACGAGCAATTCATAAGTTTGGCTTCCGCGCCGAGGCCGCTTTGGACGCTCCAACGGCCCGCGACCCCCCCCATCCAAACCCAGGGGGAGGGGGGAGGGGGAGGGGTAAACCCTCCCCCGAAGGGGAAGCGGGGCTGGAAGTCAGGCGATCGCAAACATGGATCAAGGGGGCGCGGATTAGCGACGGGTCACGTTTCCATTGGGAATCGCAGTTTTCTGCCGCCGAGCGAGGGGGCACGGGCCGCAGTTTGGGGAGGACGCCTCCCCCGATCCATGGATTTGGCGACCGCGCGCCAAATCCATGGATCGCGAATCCACGCTTGCGCGCGCCCCCGAGGAAGAGGAGACTCGCAGAACCGCTGTCGCCCAGAGGGCCGGTGGGATTTGTCCTGGAACCGGGGGCATGCCCCGTGGACCAGCTCCCTCCTCCTCCTCCTCCTCCTCCTCCGCCTCCTCCTCTCCTCCTCCTCCCCTCCTCCTCCTCCTCCTCCTCCTCTCCTCTCCTCCTCCTCCTCCTCCTCCTCCTCCCATGTGCACGGCGGCGGCCGTGGCGCGCCATCTTCCCGCCCCGAGGCTGCCTCGGAGCGGCCGGCACGCCCCGCGGCGGGCTAGCGCAGGGCGCCGCCGCGGACGCGCCGGGCGGCGCCGCGCCGAGCAAGCCGGCGCGCCCCGCCCGCGCCGGCGGGCGCGGCGATCAGCGGCGGGCGGTCGGCGGCGGCCGGCGGCCGGTGGCGGCGGCGGCGGCGGCCACGACGCGGCCACGGTGCGGACGGTGACGGCGGCGGCCCTCTGGCGGGCGGCGGCGGGCGGCGGCGGGCGGCGAGCGGCCGCGCGGCGGCGGCGGGCAGTGGCGGCGGGTGCAGAGGGCGCAGGGGGCGCGGCGCGTCGGGGGCGAGGCAGAGACTCCTACAGTCAAGCAGTGGCGAAGCGTCCTGGCTCGCCTATAGCCCCACCCAACAATGTTCTAATAATTTGTTGTTGGTCTGCACGAGATGTTCTTAGAACATTTCTGACCGGGACTGTCTTGGTTCAACACATCGGGTTAATGCTCTCAGAATGTTGTTCTTGTTCTTAGAACATCTTTGGGTTCTAAGGACATTCCGTGGTAGGACTATAGAAATGCCGGGACGGTTGGTCCCTGCTCAATACAGGCCTCCTAGATGGGGCCCGAGGAGATGGGGTCGGAGGATTGCGCCGCGTCGCCGATGCATCGCCGATGCGGCGCGATGCGGAGCCTGATTTTGTCCGCGCCGACGTCGCCGGGGCATCGCCGATGCATCGCCGATACGTCGGCGATGCGGCGCGATCCTCCGATACCTTTTTCTTCGGAACCAATATATGCGGCCTGTAGAGACGCGAGCGCACGGGATTCGCTCGCTCGAGCCTCGCGCGAGGGTTCGGGGCGCGGGAGCGGCCTCGCGGGTGGGGGGGCAGTGTCTGGGCATCGCTCGGACGTGTGCATTTTTGTCTTGGCGACGACCATCAAGGAGCATCCGAACCATCTTGGGGAACACAAGGGCACGACACCGAGCAAAAGCACCGGGAACGGACGTCCGAGCGATGGTAAGGCGTTCGTGCGCGTGGCCCAGGACGCATCTTCCAGGGGGTCAAATTCAGTCGGCGCCTAGGTTCAAGCAGTGGCGAAGCGTCCTGGCTCGCCTATAGCCCTACCAAAAAATGTTCTAAGAACTTGTTGTGGTTCCCACGGAATGTTCTTAGAACAGTTCTGGCTGGGGCTATCTTGTTTTAACACATCGAGTTATATGTTCTAGGAACGTTGTTTTTGTTCTTAGAACACTTCGGGACTCTAAGGACATTTCGTGGTAGCACTATAGGAATGCCGGGGCGGTCGGTCCCTGCTCAACTCCTCGCCGGGAGCTCTCGCTTGCAAGTCGGGCCTGTCCTTCTCCAGGAGGAATATTCAAAAATAGTCCAAACAAAAGAGTCGGTGGACGTTTTTTTTGTTGTTTTTGAATTTTTGGGTTACGTTGGGTGACGTTTTTTTTGTATTTGGTATTTTTGGTTCTAAAAGTCGAGTCGGGGACGATTTTTGATCCGGCCTGGTCCCGCCGAGGCCCGGTCGCAATCCGGGGTTGCATCCGTGCAGTAGCCAGGGGTCTTCGGGCGTGGTAGTCCTCCCGCGTTCCCGCGCAGAGAGCGCCTCCGTGGTTGCCTCGCGGTGTGGCTGCGCGCGCGCGTGCTCCGCGGAGCTCCCTGATGTGCCGCGGGGACGGCACCGAAACGGGTACTCACCAGCGGGTAGATTGGAAAGCTGCCGAACGTTGCCACTTTGGGGCCTCCATCTGGCAGTGCAGCGTTGTCCACATCGGGGAGGATTGGGTTCGCCGGGTCACTGGCCAAAGTGCCCCTTGGTGGAGTCTCCGTTCCCTCGCGTCGCGAGGAGTCGCGGGAGGTTTTCTGTTGACATTTCTTCCGTTCCCTCGGGGCACAACCGCGAGGCATCATCGCCGCGCGCGACGCCGGGCAGTCTGTCTGTGAGGGGTGTTGTTCGTATTTTGCACAGGTAGTCGTCGATGTGGTTTCCCAGTCTTCTTCTCCGCCCCCATGCATTTCAGCAGGGAAAGAAACACACAGACACAATTAATCGTCGACTTCCAGGAAAATATGGGAAAATATTGGAAGTGGGGGGGAAGACAAAAACCCAGAACATGTAGGACAATATGGGGAATCCTATTATTTGTGTGTATGTGCTTATTTGTGTGTCCCTGGGCTCCTTTAGCACTGGGCATGCGGCTCGCCGAGTCGCCCGGCCGGACTTGCCGCAGGCCTCGGGGCCTGCTCTCTCGGGCGGCGGCGGCCGTGCACGAGGCCTGGGCTCGGGCAGGAGGTGTGGCCGGGCCCAGGGCACGGGGCCGGAGGTCTGCCGCGGCGGGGCAGAGCGGCAGTGGAGGGTGCCGGGTCGGTCTGGCGGTTGTTGCGCGGTACGGTCGCACCGAGGCGTGGGAGATCGAGGTCGGTGCTGCACGAACGAAATGGGCACGGAAAGAATGGGTAGAATGCCCAACAGCGGGTCTGGTTCATTTTGAACAGGGCTCGCTGTCCACGCCGCCGCGGCCTGTGTTCATTCGAGACGGGAGGCCGCCTGCCCAACAGCGGCCGCTGTCGATTTGGGACAACTTTTGCTGTTGGGCATCATTGTACCCATTATTTCCGTACCCATTTCGAGCGTCCAAAGCAGTGGAGGGTGCCGGGTCGGTCTGGCGGTTGTTGTGCGGTACGGTCGCACCGAGGCGTGGGAGATCGAGGCCGGTTCGGGGAGGGTGCCCTGCTGTTCTGCGTGCTTGTTTTGGATGTCCTCGTGCATCCCAGGGGAGGGCACCCTCGAATGTTCTTCCGTTTGGCTGGCGGAGGGCCTCAGCTTCTTGATCGGATTCATTGTGTCCCAGGTCCGGCAGTTCTCGTCGGCCTATGGGGGCTGTCTTCGAGGGCCGGGGCCACCCGAGCTCGGCTCTGGATGGGGAGTCGGTCCTGGGGGACAGGTCGATGTCTTCGGAGGGCAGGCCAGAGGGGCGCTGGTGGATCTGAAGATGGGCGGCGTCGTCGTCGCCGTCGCCGTTTTGGAAAGGCTGATCGGCGTTGGCGGAGCGTCTCGTCGGAATGCACGCAGCTCGAAAAAGGCGCAAGGGTGGGACCCGGGGCCGTCTTTGGGCAGGACTTTGGTCGAACGAGGCGGTGGCCATGGCGAGGAGGACGGGGAGGACGGGGACGGGGGCGGAGACGTCGCCGTGGACGAGGACGACATGAGCAGATGCGACGAGGGCGTCGAGGATAGAGGAGGAAGGAGGAGGAGGACGAGGAGGAGGAGGAGGAGGAGGAGGAGGAGGAGGAGGAGGAGGAGGAGAAGGATGAAGAGGATGAGGGGGTGGAGGAGGGGGGAGGAGGGGGGAGGAGGATGAGGGGGGAGGAGGAGGACGGGGATGGCGGAGGGGGGGCGAGGAAGAACAGAAGCGACAAGGAGCGAAGAGGAGGAGGAGTAGGAGGAGGAGAAAGAGGAGGAGAAAGAGAAAGAGGGGGAGAAGGAGGAGGAGGAGGAGGAGCAGGAGCAGGAGCAGGAGCAGAAGCAGGAGCAGGATAATAATAACAATACTAATGCGGGCCGACGAGGCGAAGAAGCGAGCAGCCAGTATGGAGGAGGATGGGCGAGGAGGAGACGAGATCAGGTGAGGGAGGTTCGAAGAGAAGGAGGGGGGGAAGAGCGAGAACGAGAAGCGGAAAGCAGCGAGGAGGAGACAGAGACAGAGGAGGAGGAGAGGGGCCAATTCTGAGGCATGTGTGTTGATGTGGAGGAGGAGGAAGACGAGGAGGAAGAGGAGGAGGAGGGCCGAGCCACGTGGAGGAAGAGGAGGGAGGGGGGTCCAAAGGGTGGCACGAGGGAGGAGGAGCGAGGAGCGGAGGGTTGAGGAGTGCGTGACGAGGTGGAGGGGGGAGGAAGACCCAGGACGGGGAGGTCCTGTCGAGCAGGAGAGAAGGAGCTATCGTGGAGGAAAAGGAGGAGGGAGAGCGATTCGAGGAGGGTCGGAATGATGCGGAGGGGCGAGGAGGATAGCCGACAGACACGGAGGCCCTCGTGCAGGCATGAAGATGACCAAGGAGGAGGAGGAGGAGGAGGAGGAGGAGGAGGAGGAGGAGGAGGGAGAGGAGGAGGAGGTGGAGTCATCAACGATGTTGGAGTAATCCCTCCCTCCAAGCTCCATCTTCACAGGCCCCTGCAAGTGTTCATGTCTATTGAGGGAACTGCCCCGTTGGAAGGCAACCGTTTGAAGACCCGGAATCATGCCACAACATTGTTTTCAGGATTCCAACGCCACGGATCAACCTGATTGCTGCGTCGTGAAGATCCTGGATCGTGTCAGAACGCTATTCTTGGGACCTGGGGCTTCAACACCGCAAACCAACGTAATTGTTGCACCCTCAAAACCCTGAGTCCTTCCCAAACACCACTTCTGGTACGTTTACCATGGAAATCCGTGAAGCTCTTGCAAGTGCTTAAAACGAATGTTCGCGGCGCTAAGGCGAGAGCCACAGTTTCAAAAACCACCCGCCCTCAACCCGTGAAACGCGTGCATTTTTTGGCAAACGAATGCGCGCGGCGCGAAGGCGAGAGCCACAGTTTGAAAACAGGTGGCCCTCAATCCATGAAACTCTTGCAGATAGTTACAACGATAGCGCGCGGCGCTAAGGCTTGAGCCACATGTTGAAAACGGGTGGCCACAAATCCGTGAAACCTTTGCAAATGGTGAAAACGTTAGCGCGCGGCGCTAAGGCTTGAGCCACATGTTGAAAACGGGTGGCCACAAATCCGTGAAACTCTTGCAAATGTTTGAAACAAATGTGCGCGGCGCTAAGGCGAGAGCCACAGTTTGAACACCACCCGCCCTCAACCCGTGAAACGCGTGCATTTTTTGACAAACGAATGCGCGCGGCGCGAAGGCGAGGGCCACATTTTGAAAACGGGTGGCCCTCAATCCATGAAACGCGCGCGGCGCTAAGGCTTGAGCCACATGTTGAAAACGGGTGGTCACAAATCCGTGAAATTCTTGCAAATGTTTGAAACAAATGTGCGCGGCGCTAAGGCGAGAGCCACAGTTTGAAAACCACCCGCCCTCCATCTGTCAACTGTTGTCAATGTTTAAGTTTCAGGTTCATAAAATGTGTGAGGACGTCTCAGGCGAAACGCCCGACCCGTCCTAGAAAATGGTCTTGGGGTGCGACAGGGAGAAGTTATTCATAAGGTGAAGGAATGCGGGAGGAGGAGGAGGAGGAGGAGGAGGAGCAGGAGCAGGAGGAGGAGGAGGAGGAGGTGGAGGTAGAGGGGGGGGAAGAGGAGGGGGAGGGGGAGGGGGATGGGGGAGATGGAAGGGCGAGGATGAGGATGTGAACGTGGAGGCGCGAGTCAGAGGAGTATGGCCAAGGAGGAGAGGAGGAGACGGAGGCAGAATAGAGAAGGAGTTATGGTGTCCAAGAGGATCGGGGGTTGAGAAGGATGGGTCGAGGAAGCCACGTTCGATGGGGGCAACAATGGAGAATCGAGAATGACACGCAGAAGGAAGGCAGGCTAAACCCGGAAGAGATCACTGAACACCTTCGCGCCCTGAGGCCTCTCCCCACGAGCACTGCGGCAGAAGCGCCACACTTTGGGCGCGAGTGAGGTGGCGCTCGGGCTGCCCTGCGGTGGCCACGGTGCTCGGGCCACTTTTTCTCTGCAGACGCCCGCCACATGCGCCGGCTTGTTCCATGCGACGTGCGGGCGGGTCGCGGGTCGGGGCGCGAGGCTCGACCGCCAGGGTGAAGGAGCCCGCCGCAGGCGCCGAGCTCACACGCGAGCGACCCGCCGCAGGGGGCGATTTTTCGTAAGAAGCAGCGTGAATGGGTCGCGGGTGCGGCGCGCAGGTGGGTCGCGGGTGGGCCGCGTGTGGGTCGCGGGTGGGTGGGGGGTGGGTCGTTGTTGGATCCAGGAGTTTGTCGCTGGGTTGGTTGAGGGGCGTGTCGCGAGTGGGTCGCGGCCCGATTCCAGATCTTCTTAGTTTGCCGGCCATCAGCGATGACTTTCAATCCCTCCCGCTTCTCGGGGGCCCCCAAACGGGGTGGTGACCACACCGTGCGGGGAGTCGGTGGGGATTCGGGGTCACCGCACGGTTTTGGGACCCGAGTCCCTCTCCGAGGACGTCTCGGGCGACAGGGGCCTCCGGGGTCCCAAGACCGTGCGGTGACGGACCGTGCGGTGAGGTCTTTGGGGGATTTCGAGGTCACCGCACGGTCCGTCACCGCACCGTTTCGGGACTCCCAAGCTTCACATGGCTACCATCATCTCTCGAAAGCCTGAGCGCTCTGGACCCTCCCTTCGGCGTCACCGTTTCTTCGTGACCTGGGCCCCCGGGTCTAGCGGTGCATCACTGGTCGTTCCGTTGGGGCGCCAGACGTCCGGGTCACTTCCCGTCAGAGTTAGTTCCCGCTTCTGTCCTCGGGCGCTTCTTGGCCAGAGTCCCTGCGGCGGACCCATACGTGGAGACGAGGAGGGGCAGAACGGGCCAAGAACGGTGCACTCCCTCCATCTTCAATCGTCGGAGTCTTGGAGGGCAGCGGGATGTCTGGTCGGGTATAGCAAGGACCCCGGTTAAGGGGAGCCAGTTAGTGATTGGGCCCCGAAGTCCAAAATATGGATTGGAACCACTAAACCAGGTCTGCCGTCGCTGGTACCTTTCGGGCGACGGCAATTCCGGTCAGTGGAATGAGACGGGGGCGTCTCCGGTACAGATCACTACGCCAGGTCCCGCTAAACCCAGTCCTGCCATCGCCCAGGTTGGGTCTTGCTGTCGGAGCTCCCTGGAGGTCCCCGGTCGGAGGACCCTGCCCCGGAGGCCCTCGGAGGACCCCCGAGGCCCTCGGAGGCCGAACAAAGATCCTGCACGCGGGAGCGGCCCCTTTTTCCAGAGCGGCCTTTGGTGCGCGGCCACCTTTCGGGAGGGAACAAAAACACACAGACACAGTGAATTGTCGATTCCCCAGAGAATATGGAAAAATATGGGAAACACACAGAAAATATGGGAACATGTGGGGAATCCTGTTAGTTGTGTCTATTTATTGAATCGCTTCGCTCATTCCGCCGGCCCATTTCGCATGACTGAGCCTCTTGGGGCCGCTGGGGGGCCTCTTCAGCGTCGCTTGGGGGCCTCCTGAGGGCCTCTTGGGGGCTTTTGGGGCCTCTCAGGGGCCTTTTGAGGCCTCCTGGGGGCTTCTTAAGGCCGAGGGCTCGAAGCTTTGTTTTGTGTTCCCCCTTTGGGGCATCGCTTGGGGCCCTCTTGGGCCCCTCTTGGGCTGTCTTGGATGCCTCTGGGGCCGTCTTGGAGCCCTCTTGGGCCATCTTGGGGCCTTCTTAGGAGCTTCTTGGGCCCTCTTGGGGCGATCTTGGGGGCCTCTTGGGCCGTCTTGGGGCGTCGGGAAGCCGAAAAGATGGACACGCCAAAATCTGCCCAAAACCTATGGAAAAGTAATAAATTTTGCCTCTTGGGGCCCTCTGGGGAGTGCTCTTGGAGGCCTCTTGGGGCGTCTGGGGGCCATCTTGGGCGTCTTGGAACGATCGTGTGGCATCTCGGAGCACTCTTGAACCATCTTGGAGGGCTCTCGGCGGCCTCGTGGCCCTTCTTGGGGCTCTCTGGAGGGCCACGGGGGCGGCGCCCAGGAGGAAAACCATCTCTGACCCGAGTCTGCCGGGGATCGCCTGGGGTACTTTTCGTCCGGGGACCCCCAGGGGCTGCCCCGCGCGCGCGAAGTAGAAGTATTATTTAGCAGTTACCGGAGATCTTAGCACGCCTCTGGCCCGTTGGGCCGGCGAATTTGTGTTTCCCAGGGCCCCTTCGACCTTGGGTTGCGTGCGAGGGGCCAATCCCGAGAACACAGGCCGCTACTGTCGCGCCGCGCGCCACGTGCTGCAAGCCCCGCGCCAAAGGTCATTTCTGCCTGGAGTCAGTTGTATTCCCGTGCGCGAGGACAGCAACCAACACTCCTTAACGTTTTGCATTTACCCACCAGCCCATGCGTGAACGATGCCCAGGGGAGGTGCCCTTCTCAGGGGAGCCCTTCATCATTGGGAGAGCTCGGAGAACCTCTGCGGACAATGGTTCTCCCAGTCTCTTGTAATGTCTCTCGGGATGTCCGTGAGTCCTCTTCGCTCCCTGTAAAACACCAACGCAACATGATCGCGGCTCGCCCTCGCGCACGTCTTGTCACACAGTGTATTTTGCATTGTGTGTTGACGGGGATGGTGGGTCTGCGCAGTGTAGACTATCTGAGGGCACCGCACAATTGTGACCAAAAAATGTGACACACAACAACTCCGAACAAGTGTCATAAACACCTGTGCATTTGCTATCACATTTGTTTGTGTACCGTACCACACTTGATGTTTTTCACACTTGTGTTTTACCGCACTTGTTTTTATCACACGGGTTCGGAATGTTTTAGCACCCTTGTCTGTCCCTGTCAAACGCACATTCGAAGTGACCATGGGTCGCCCAGGCACGGCCCAGGTGTCGCAACAGCGTGCGCTCTGCACTGTCTCCTGGCAGGGGCGGAGCGGACAACAGAGGAAAGCGGGCACCCCGGCCGCCCCTGCCAACGCCACTGGCACAATGCCCTCGATGCTGTAACAGCCCAGGCACGACCCAGGTGTCGCAACGGCGTGCGCTCTGCACTGTCTCTTGGCAGGGGCGGAGCGGAGAAGGAGGAGAGGGAGGAGGAGGAGGAGGAGGAGGAGGAGGAGGAGGAGGAGGAGGAGGGGGAGGAGGAGAAGGAGGAGTAGGAGAAGGGGAAGGGGAGGAGGAGGAGGAGGAGGAGGAGGAGGAGGAGGGGAGGAGGAGAAGGAGGAGGAGAGGGAGGAGGAGGAGGAGGAGGACAGGAAAGCGGGCACCCCGGGCCGCCCCAGCCAACACCACCGGCACAATGCCCTCGGGGCGCCCGCGCACGGCCCGGATCCTGTTGCAGCGTGCGCACCGCCTTGCCTTTTGACGGGGACGGCAGGAGGAGGAGGAGGAGGAGGAGGAGGAGGAGGAGGAGGAGGAGGAGAGGGAGGAGGAGGAGAGGAGGAGAGGGCTGGGCGAGCAGGGAAAGAGAGAAAGGAGAAGGTCCAAGCGGTAGGAGGGAGGAGGACGGGGGACAAGGAGGCCAAGGCAGGAGGAGGCGGGTGACAAGGAGGCCAAGCCAGGAAGGAGGGCCCATGGTTCCGGGTGCATCGCCGGTCGGGCGGGAGAGGGGGTGCTTCTCGGGGTGAGGAGCAATTAGGGGGCCCTCCCCGAGGGGGAAGAAGGGAAAGAGGAAGCCTCGATTTTCGAACCTGGGGGGGTATCCTCGATCCTCGAGCACATGAAGTATCAGATCTTCGAACGAGTACCAGGTCCTCGAACCTGAGGGATAAATCGCGGGCTGCGGGGGGCGCGCGACAGGCGAATCCGCTGGTGCAGGGCGAGAAGCTCGACCCTCAGGCGCGCTGGCCGCGCGGCAAGTGCGACGGCCCCGACGACGTCGTTGTAATGCGCAATGTCGACCCAGAAATTGCAACGTACACGCCGGTCGTTGAAAGTAAGTATTCCTGGACGCCCAGATCCTAATCAATTTAGGCGCATTCCTACTTCAAGGGTCGTGTGGTTTCCACTCTTCCTTCCTCCTCAGGTGGCGGGCGGAAGTCCAATCTATCTTCAACGCCTTCCTTCTTCATGGTTCTTCCACTTCGTCCGACAGACGGGCACTAAACAAGACAATACATCGGAGGAGGAAAAGGTACCCATACCGCTACCATTGCCTCGTTTTACCCTTTGTGGGCCTCCTGGGCGGCCCTCGTCGCCACGGCTGGATTCGCCTCGAAGTCCTAGTCAGAACGCACCTCGGGAGAGGTCCGGAAAGCAGCGGTGTCAGTCGACCAGGAGATATCCAGCGTACTCAACAGAACAGCACAGACGGAGTTATCCGTTTTTCCGGCCTCTTAGGGGCCCTCACTGGGCTCCCGGCCGTCTAAGAGCGACCCGGGATGACCAGCTCGACCAGAAGTCGGGAGCCTTGAGACGGGGGTCAATGCAAACGGGGGTCAGTCAGGGCACCAGATCCTGCAGGATCCTGCGAGGACCCCCTCTGGCTGACCTGGGTTAGCGAGCCGCTCGTGGCCGCGAGGCGCCCGCGCATATTGGCTGACCCGGGTTTGCGAAGACCTGCGTTGCAGTTTTCTTCCTGCATTGCAGTTCTTGGTTTCCTGCTGACCCGGGTCTGGATTGACCCGGGTCAGAAGATCCCCGAAGAAGAAAGGGTCGAAATTTCTGGGGGCCCGTCGTCTCAGGCATATGGTCCTTCGAAAAGTCGAGGTCGTCAGTTTCTGTCGGCTGGGAACTGCTTTGGAGCTCCTGGGCCCAGGAGGCAGCGCTGGCCCTGGGGGAGGGGTCGAGAGCTCCGAGGGCCCACGCCTCGAAGACGTCGAGGCGCTGGACGTCTGTGGCTGCAGCAGCGTCGACGGCGTTGTCGTCGCTGCCGGGGTGGAGGCAGAGATGCCAGAACGCACGAGCAGCTCGCGCACGCAGAGTGGAAACGCTGGACGTCGACGACGGCGTCGGCGTCACCGTTTCTGGAGGCGTGCGTCTATTTCTGGAGACGGCGCCACCACCTTTGCATTTTGCTCTCCCGGTACTTCGCCTCCGGGTTCCTGTACAAGGCGTTCCTTTGCATGCACCTCGCCTTTGGCACCGCCTGATCCCGGGGCTTTGCCCTCTCCTGGCCCTGACGTGAGGCCCCTCCTTCTGCTTTCCCCCCTCTGTCAATTGAAGCTGTGCGCGGCCCGCTTAGCTTCGCCCGGAAGAGGCTCGCTCTCGACCCGCAGATCAAAAAAGTCAGTTTTTGGAAGCCCTGTTATGGGCCATCCTGTTATTTGGGGAAAAATGGAGCTGGCTTTCGTCGAAGGATCTTTCGCGCCTGCAGACCTCACGAGCGGGCCACGTTTGGGGCGGGGGGGGGGGACGGGCCCCTTCAGGCCTGCCCGATGTCGGCCGATGTTGAACGATCTGCGCGCCTCCAAAGCTCCCCGCGTCGCCCGGCGTCGCAGGAGGTGCGCTCTTGCAGGCCTCCCCAGCGGGTAGGGCAGGACGAGCTCCGGGGCAACGTTGAGGGGGGACAGCCAGGCTCAGGGAGCCTCCGTGAGTCTGATCGTCTCCCCCCTTCGCGTTACCAGAACCCCCTCCCTCCTCCCCAGAACCCCCTCCCTGAGTTCGTCCCTCCTCCCCTGAGTTCGTCCCCCTGAGTTCGTCCCTCCTCCCCAGAACCCCCTCCCTCCTCAAGGGGGAGGAGGTTCTGAGAGGGAGGAATCATCGACCCCCGATCGCCCATGGGTCGTCCAGGGGTCCCCATAGCCCACCCCGCCCGGGAATGTGCTGATTCGCTATCGAGAACAGATCGCCGATCCATCGACGATGTGACGCCGAGTCCAGCCGATGTTTCCCCCTGAGCTGTCTCCCCCTGACAGTTCCCCTCACGAAAGGGGAGCATTGGGAAGGAAGGGGTTCCGAAATTTGCTGCGTGCGGGGCCGGTTTCTTCCCCGCTGCTAGGGGCTTTCTTCGATACGTTGGCGACCCCCGGGGTTACGGCGGGGCACCAGGGAAACCAGCTGTGCAAGCTGATTCGCGAATCCCTATTGGCTGGCCCCTCGTGTCGTCCAGGCTGGCGTGGGCCGAGTAGGCGGATCGAGCCGCATCGCCGATGCATCGGCGATGCGGCTCGATGTGGAGCCCGATTTTCTCCGCCCCGGCGACGCCGATGCATCGGCGATGCACCGGCGATGCGGCGCGGTTGTCTGACCCCCTTGTGCTCTGGCCCCTTTCGGGAGGTCTCAGTCTAGTTGCAGGAGGGCCGTGAATCTTCAAGGCGGGACGATCCACGCGGAGTCAGCGACCGCCGTCCGCGGTATATTGCATGGTGCATTTCGATCCGGTCGATTCCATGTGACATGATCCGATTCCATTCCGATTCCAAGTCGATCTGATCTCAAATCCAGCACGATCCGATACGGTTCCGATATTCCGACGTGCCGATGCGGCCCGATGCTCGCATGGGCGTGGTTCTGCATATTGGTGCAGCCGCAATCCGATCCGATTCCATATCCGTGCCGATGCGGCCCGATCCCACTTACGTTCCGATCCAGTCCAATTTCCCGATTCGATGGTTTATCCGATTCGATGGAATTGCCGGCGAAGCAGAAACATTGATGTAGTTTGGTTTCTTAGGGTCTGTGTGGCTGTGAGGAGTGTGTGGCGGCATCGTTGTTTCGCACGCACACGCAGAGTGTCTAATCGACACGATTGCTTTGCACCGGAAACACAAACTGTCGAGTCCTTACGCTTCCCCCCCCCCGCACCCAGGTCGTCGCCTTTCGGGGCCTCGAGGATCCCTCTGAGGAGCCCCCTGCCTGCCAAAGAGCCCACCCCACATTCGTAGAACGCCGCCTCCGAGTCCCTGCGGCCGCTCCTCCCCACACCCCGCGCGCAGGTTGTCGCGCTCTGCAAAGACTTCGGGGTCGAGGACCCGTCGCGTATTGTATACAGTGTGTGCCGTGCGCGTGCCTCTTGGCGTGTTTGCCGTGCGCATAATCTGACGCCGCGCGCCCAGCCGACGCCGACGCCGGCCAGTAGTACGTGTTGCTGTGTGTTTCTTGCGCTCCAGGCCTCCCAGATGGAGTCGGAGTAGATGGGGTCGGAGGGTCGCGCTGCATCGCCTATGCATCGGCGATGCGTTCGATGTGGAGCCCGATGTTCTCCACGCTGATTGCGCCGATGCTTCGCCGACATCGCCGATGCATCGACGGTGCACCGACGGTTTCTTGAGAGGGCGCCGGACCCCCCTGGCGGCGGCGCCGCTCCTGGCGCGTTCCGCGCGCCAGTGAGGGGACGCTTGTGTCAAAGTCATTGTTTGTTCCTCGATCCTGCACGCATCTGTCTGATTTGCCCGGACGGAGGTCTCGCTTTTGGCCTGGTTCTGTCTAGCGCAAGCGCCAACACAGAGTGGCAAGTTCAGTGATCACATCAGTAACTGGCTGCGTTCCCGGGGAATGCTTTCATCGCCGCGTCGGAGGAAAGGTGTGTGTGTGTGTGTTCGCGCGAGTTTATGTTTAAGTCGGGCATGTCCGTCTACAGGCGGAATATTCAAAAATAGTTAAAAAGAAATTGGTCTGGGGATGATTTTTCGACCACCATTTTATTATGATTAAGCATTGTTTGGCTACGTTTGAGTTTTCCTCCAAAGCCCGCCTGTAGGAGGAAAGGCCCGACCTAAGTTTCTATGTGTGCGTGTGTGTTCCCCGCCTCTTCTGCTCATGTATGAGCTTGGCTTTGCCGATGAGTGGTCCCGCCTTGCGCTTAGCAGCTTAGCACTCACTGGCTTCTTCGGTGCTGTTCACGCTTCCCCACGAGGTGGCCAAATGGACATGTACGCGGCCTGTCATTGCGCATCGCTTTCCCCAAACAACAAGTGTGAACTTGTGTGCGTGTGCGCGCGTGTTCACATGTGTATATGTGTGTGCCTGTGCTGGTGCTGTGTCCTGTCCGTTTTCAGCCCTTTCTTCCCAGGGTGCGCGTCGCCTGAACGCACCCCTCTCATGCTCTCGAGGCAGCTCGGGCCACTTCGCCATCGGAGGAAAACAGATGACTGCGTGTCGTGTGCTTGCGGTCGTGCCTTACTGCGTGTGCGGTTCGCTGTGTTGTTTGTTGTCGTATGTGTGTGTGTGTGTGTGAGTGCGTGAATGTGAGTGCGTGCGTGCGTGCGTGCGTGCGTGCGTGTGTGTGTCTGTGTGTGTGTGCATGTGCGTGTGCGTGTGCGTGTGCGTGTGCGTGTGCATGTGCGTGTGCGTGTGCGTGTGCGTGTGTGCGCCCGTGTGTGTGTGTGTGTGTGCGTGTGTGTCTTCGCGTGCGTCGTAAGCGTCCCCAGGCCCCACGCCGCGCTCGTCTCGTCGCCAGACGTTCTGCGCCTCGACGCTGGCGCGCGCGGCCGCGGCGCCCCCCCAAAAACAACTGCATGCAGGCCTGCGCGCGTGTCTGGAAGGGGGGGCAGGCCGTGTGCGTCTGTGAACGTGCAATCGCTCGGACGTGTGCATTTTTCCTTCGGCGAGGGCCATCGAGGAGCATCCTTGATCGTTTGGCGAAAAACCCACGCACGAAACCGAGCAAAAACATAGGAAATGAACGTCCGAGCGATGGCCAGGGGGGGCAGCCGCGTGCGTCTGTGGACGTGCAGGGACATGGACGCGTGCACGTGCGATGCCACCTCCACCACAGCTCTGTCCACACTCTGGCCCTCCCCGCCGTGCAGGCCCGGAGGGCCTTGGCTGGAGCCGGCCGGTGGTCCCCAAGAGGTCTTCGAAACCCCAAGTGGTCCTGGAAATCTCGGCAGGGCGTAGACGCGTGCGCATCACTGCCTGCACTCGAACTTCTACGTCCCGTCGCCACGCGCGGGGCCGCCACGCAAAAAAACATGAGTGGACGTGCATGGACATGAATGTGTGTGTGTGTGCGTGAGATGCGGCTCACCTCGTCCAGTAAACAGGCAGTGGGAGATGTTATGCGGACGGGTGGCGACGTCCCCGTTTACATAAGCCTGCGGCTGTGCAGGAGTCATAGGCTTGATGTGCAGAGACTGGCTACGTGCTTAAGCATGTCTGGTCTGGTCTGTTGCCATGGGTTCAGCCGCGGCGTCCACCCTGGCTACAGCTAGCCGCGCAATATCAATGATGAGCAATCTCCCAAGGCTGCTCCTGCATCCCCCCTCTTCGGTCCATCCTTGGCCGCTGTCGCCGGCCGCGCTCCGCTCGCAGAGTGTCGACACGGCCTTGCCTTCCAAGGCCCCCGCATCCTCACCGTGCATCCTTGTGACGCGGGCTGACTGTAGTACCGAGGGCGGCGCCTCCAGCGCCGCCACCGGCGCGCTCCGCGCGCCAGCGAGGGGCGTCCAGCGTGGAGCTCCGAAGGCTGACAAGTATGTTGCTGCCTGTTGCCCGAGGAAGGTCAATTCGCTTCTCGGTGCCCCAGTGTGGCTCTATCGCTGGTGCAGCCATTATTCAGGAGGGGAAAGAAACACACAGACACAATGAATCCTCGATTCCCCAGAAAACATGGGAAAACCTGGGAAGTGGGGGGAAGACAAACACCAAGAAAATATGGGAAGACATGGGGAATCCTGTTGTTTATGTCTATTTATTTGTGTGTCCCAGGGCCTCTTCATTCATGCCCTCCCCTCCTGATATTGTCAGGATGAGAAAAAGCCACGCAGTTACAAATCGTCGTCGATCCCCTGGAAAATATCGGAAAGATATGGGAAGCTGGGGGGAGGACGAACATTCTGAGAATGCGAACACAACGGGCATCTTTGTATTTTGGTGTACTTGTTTGCGTGCCCTTGGGCCTCTTCATTCATGCCCTCTGCTCCTGGCATTGCTCTCACCCCCCCTCCGCTTCACGCTGCTCATCCCCCCCTGCACCAAGCAGGACAGAACGACTGCAGACAGGGGGGCATAGATTCACAGCTCCCGCGTCGCCTCCAAAATCCGTTGTGGCTTGCTGCTTGGGCTGCCAGGACCGCCTCATGCGCAAGCTCAACACAGTGATGGTGCGCAGGCGTGGCTCGCCGTATCGGTGCCTCGCACGTGCAAAGCCAGTCTGCTCGACGGAGATTGATTTTTTTGGGGGGGGGTCCAAGGCCACTCGCGGGCGAACGCAGAAGCAGACCGCGCGTCGTGTTTGTTTTTTCGTCGCGGTCTCCGCCGAACAGAATTTCTGGACAGCAGGAGCGAGGTTGCCGAGCTGTCGCAACGGCTGCTGGCGCTGCGCCTCCACACGCTCCCTCGACGCCTCTTCCGTCTCCTCCCGCTCCTCATCGCCCTCCTTCCCCGCCCCATCCCTTGTCTTCCTCCTTCTCCTGCCCATCCGCTCCCGCCTGTTCCTCCCTGCTTCTCATCATCACCACCACCATCATCGTCATCATCATCATCATCACCATCATCATCATCATCATCATCATCATCATCACCATCATCATCATCATCATCATCATCATCATCATCATCATCATCATCATCATCATCATCATCATCATCATCATCATCATCATCATTGCCATCATCATCACCATCATCGTTATCACCATCATCATCATCATAATCCTCTTCGTCACCACCACCACCATCATCCTCTTCTCGTGATCCTCCTCGTCGCCCTCCTGCACCTCCCTGCCAGCCTCCTGTGACCTGGGCCGCCAGGGGCTGGCGCGTGGGAGCGGGCGTTCCCGGGCGCGCGCGCGCCTGGCGCCCACTCAGCGGGCGCGCGCTCGGCGCTCTCTGGGGCCCCTCTTCGGTGCTGCTCTGAAGGGGCACCCCTAGGAGGAGGAGGAGGAGGAGGAGGAGGAGGAGGAGGAGGAGGAGGAGGAGGAGGAGGAGGAGGAGGAGGAGGAGGAGGGAGGAGGAGGAGGAGGAGGAGGAGGAGGAGGAGGGAGGGAGGGAGGGAGGGAGGGAGGGAGGGAGGGAGGGAGGGGGGGAGGGAGGGAGGGAGGGAGGGGGGAGGGAGGGAGGGAGGGGAGGAGGGAGGGAGGGAGGGAGGGAGGGGGGGAGGGAGGGAGGGAGGGAGGTGAGGGAGGGATGAGGAGGAGGAGGAGGAGGAGGAGGAGGACCTGGCGGCCCGGTGCCGCCCCCCTGCTCTGCGGCGCCACCCGGGCAGGCCCGACTCGCGCGGCATGCCCATGCCTCTGCCCCTTGGCATCGCTCGGGCGTGCGCACTTTTCCTTCGGCGAGGACCATCGAGGAGCATCATTCGGCGAAAGAACCACGCACGAAACCGGAAAAAAAAACACGGGGAGTGGACGTCCGAGCGATGGCCGGATCCTGCCTCCGTGTTCCCTCTCTGGGGGGCCTCCTGGGGGGTCCGTCGCACTTTTCCTTCGGCGAGGACCATCGAGGAGCATCATTCGGCGAAAGAACCACGCACGAAACCGGAAAAAAAAACACGGGGAGTGGACGTCCGAGCGATGGCCGGATCCTGCCTCCGTGTTCCCTCTCTGGGGGGCCTCCTGGGGGGTCCTCGTTGCCACCGCTGGATTCGCCTCGAGGCTCTGGTCAGGAGGCGCCCCGGAAGAGGTCCGGGGAGCAGCGGTATCGGTACCTGTTGTCGGCGACTACAAAGGGTATGGTTGCGCCGGGGTGTGGTTTGCGATCGGCACCGTTGGGGCCTGGGGGGCACGACGCTGTCCTCGTCGGGCCTCGGGGCGCGGGAGAACTCTATCGAGGTCCCCGCGCGCCCCCTGGGGTGCCCCCCAGGATGTTCCCCAGGACGTCGGTTGCAAACCACACCCTTTGCAAACCACACCCTTTGGAGTCGCCGAGTGGTGGGGCCGCGCCCGCGGAGGGAGGGTGGCCCCCGGTCTCGGTGGTGGTGAGGTTGAGGGCATGCCAGGGGGCCGCAGGCACAGCCACCAGCGCCCGGGTGGCCCCCTCCGATGGACGCGGCTCCCTCTCTCTCTCCCGCTGTCGCTGTCCTGCTCGCAGTCCAGCGAGGAGTTCCACAGAGCATGCGCACCCAAGAGAGGAGGAAGGGGGGAGGGGCGGAGGGCTACCCTCCGCCGCCGCCGCCCGGCCCGGGCGCCCGCCTGGCCCTCGGCCCCGGCGCCCGCCGGGCCCGCGGCCGGGGCGCCCCGCGCCGCCCGGGTCCGCACGGCGCCACATGGCTGGCCTCCTCATCCTCCGCTCCTCCGCCTCCTCCTCCGCCTCCGCCTCCGCCTCCTCCTCCGTCTCCTCCTCCTCTCCTCCCTCCGCCTCCTCCTCCGCCTCCTCCTCCGCCTCCTCCTCCTCCTCCTCCTCCTCCTCTCCTCCTCCCTCCTCCTCTCCTCCTCCTCCTCCTCCTCCTCCTCCTCCTCTCCTCCTCCTCCCCCCCTCCTCCTCCTCCTCCTCCTCCTCCTCCTCCTCCCATCCCCGTTCCTCCATCCCTCCGTCCTCCTGACCCTGCCCGCATCCTGGGCCTTCTCTCTCTCTCTCTCTCCGGTGCCACTGCGCAGGCCTCCTGGGCTGGTCGGCCGACGAGCACCAGCGTGCCTGCTCCCGCCCGTGCGTTTGGTGCGTGCCGGCGCGGCTGGGGGCAGCTCCGACGCGAGCGTGGGCAGGGTGTCCGGTGGGCGTCCACGTCGGGATCGTGCCAAGTCAGTGCCAGGGGCCGGCAGATCCTCACCTCTGCTTCACTCCACGCTCCCTTCACCCCTCTCCACCCTGTTCCATCCTACCTGATCTAATTAGTCCTTATCTCCCCTAGTGTCTCGGCCTCCCCAACTCTTCGGTGTTCTTGCTTGTCCCAAACGTGTGTGCTCAGACCTCTCAATCCTTTCCTGGGGCCAAGCTTTTCGCCTGGGAGTGTTTGTTGGTTGTCCCCGGGCCCGAAAGTTGCCCCCGAAGGCCGAATACGCGAACACACATCCGTCTTTATTTGTTCAAGTCGTTCCAGGTAATTTCGTGCCGCCGCCCTCCTCCTCCTCCTCCTCCTCCTCCTCCTCCTCCTCCTCCTCCTCCTCCTGCTCCTGCTCCTCCTCCTGCTCCTCCTCCTCCTCCCTCCTGTATTTGTGCCGCAGATGGGCAGGACGTCGCCAGTGGCCGTACTGCTATCGGGTGCATCGACCGTGAGGTGAGGTCACGGCACCTCCCCCCCCCTCCCGCCCCGTCCGCGCTCACGCCTCGGGCAGTGATGCGGCAACGCCCCCTCTCTGCCTGACCCCAGTCTTCCGCGCACCCGGCTGCAGCAGCAGTGGTGGGCGGAGCGGCGCCGAGAGGCCCGAGACCTTCTACGAAGACATCCAAGCGTTGAGGGACAGACGCCCCTCAGAGGATGGAGGAGGACGAGGAGGAGGAGGAGGAGGTGGAGGAGGAGGAGGAGGAGAAGGAGGAGGAGGAGGTGGAGGTGGAGGATAACGAGACGGAGTGTCGCTCGGAGGAGAAGGACAGTAGGGTCGGATGGAGGTGGGTTATCGAAAAGGGGGGACACGACAATTGTTGCAGGCAGCCGGTTTCGGCTCCGCCGCCGTGCTATCTTCTTGATGCGTTGACGCCTGCAGCGTTGTGAGGCGCCGCAGAAGCCAGCTACGCGAGCTGATTCGCTACCCACCGTTTCGTCCTCCCTGGGAGGAGGAACTCGAGGATAGGGAGTCAGTGCGTCGTTCAGTCAAGGACGACAACGAGATTCAATATGGGAAATACCACCCTGACCATCACCATTGGCGTCTGCGGACCAGCCGGGATGTTGGTGAGTAGCAGTCGGCTCGGCGGAAGGAGGAGGAGGATCAGACAGGAGAAGTCGCAGAACAATTGGGCGGTGTAAAAGAGGATCGAGGGCAGGAGGAGGAGGACGGAGGGAGGAGGGGCATCAGGAGGCAGAGGGGCACGATGCTGCAGGAGTGTGTGCCGATCTTGCCCCATGGGGCGCTGGGCAGCCCTGCACTTCCAGCGAGAACCGCGGGGTCTGGCAGCTGCTCCGAGGTCGTCGCTCTCGCGTTCCTCCGCCCCTTCCCCTCCTATCCTCCTGCGCGAGGCTCGGGGGCTGATGCCTTCGTCTCTGCTGCCCCTCCTGGGCTTCCCCCGCCCCTCTGCTTAATTCGCATTTCGTGCGTGTGTGTGTGTGTGTGTCATTATTGCCACATCGCCGGAGCAGTCCCTCTGCACAGCCGCCGACGCAAAAAGTGTGTGTCTCTGTGTGTGTACTAAGTGTGTGTATATGTGTGCATGTGTTCTGTCTCCTTGTCGTCTCTGCGCAGGGAGTACAACAAAGAGCAGAGTTCCGATCGGCCAACGTGAGCGGTCAAGCATCGAAGCAGGTGTCAGCAGGAGTTGCAGCTTCCATGGCTCCAGAGCCTGGACCGACGTGGGCCCGAGATGTGTCATTTGTAGCATGGTTACCGTTATATTGACAATGTGAGTTATGCTGTCCAATGCTTCTCATTCCTCCTCATCCGCAGTCCGCAGAGCCTCCCTCTCGCGTCTCGCAAGGACAAGATGGAAGGACCGCCCAAGGTTGAGGTTGGCGTGCTGATCACCCAGATGGAGAAGGACGCTGCGCCAAGCTCCAGTTCCCTCAACTGCCTAAGACAATTCGAGCGTCACATCACGTTCAAGCGTTCAGTCCGTGCGGGCAACGCCGATCGCATGCGGTGCAAGCTGCGTCGTGCAAGCCGGGCGGTGTGACCTGGAAGCGAAAGCTCTGCGGTGTGAGCTGTGTGATGCCACGTCTACTGCGCAAGCTGCGCGGTGTGAGCCACGTGGTGAGCGCTGTGTCGTGTGAGCTCAGGGCGCAGGGCGCTCACGACTTGGCACTGGCGGCAGCGTGGCGCAGCCTCGGCACACCGTCCCGGCGAACGCGGCGCCCACAGGGCGCCACGGACGCAGCCCCTCGGCATGCCCCCGGAGCGCGGGGCGCACGCGAGGCGTCCACGAGACGGCTCGGGCCGCAACATGGCGGGAACCGTCAACGAGAAAAGTAAGGACTCCTTAGTGCAAGCGCTGTTCGGGGAACAGCGGCAGGTGGGCCTCCGGAGCCTCGGCCATCTCCTTGCACACATCCTCGCGCGACGCTTCTCCTCGCACCAACGCCCCTGCGTCCAAGCCTGCCCCCATATATTGAATTCTTTACGCTTCGCGTATCCCCACCAGCCCATCTCACAGCAGCACCTCTTGCGAAGCATGCCGACAGTCGTGTTTTTCAGGCGTGTGTCCGCTTGGCCCCGCATATCTCCCCTGTTCCTCCTTCCTCCCGCCTCCTTGTACATCCTCCTTGTGGGGGGAGCGGGAGAAGGACGAGGCGGAGGAGGAGGGAGAGAAAGCGCTCCTCGTGGTTTGAGTCGTTTGGGGTTTCTCGTCCTGGTGTGAGTCGTTCGGGCCCTTCTTCCTGGTGTGAGTCGTTCGGGCTCTTCGTGGTGTGAGTCGTTCGGGCTCTTCGTCCTGGTGTGAGTCGTTCGGGCTTCTCGTGGTGTGAGTTGTTCGGGCCCCTCGTCCTGGTGTGAGTCGTTCTCCTCGTTCGGGCCCCTCGTTCTGGTGTGACTCGGAGGACGTGAGTCGTTCGGGGCCCGTCGTGTGGTGTGAGTCGTTCGGGCTCCTCGTGGTGTGAGTCGTTCGGGCTCTCGTCCTGGTGTGAGTCGTTCGGGCTCTTCGTGGTGTGAGTCGTTCGGGCTCTTCGTGGTGTGAGTCGTTCGGGCCCCTCGTCCTGGTGTGAGTCGTTCGGGCTCCTCGTGGGGCCTCTTGGGGGCCTCTTGGAGCCTCTTGGGGCCTCTTGGGGGCCTCTTGGGGGCCTCTTGGGGGCCTCTTGGGGGCCTCTGGGGCCTCTTGGGGGCCTCTTGGGGGCCTCTTGGGGGCCTCTTGGGGCCTCTTGGGGGCCTCTTGGGGGCCTCTTGGAGGCCTCTTGGGAGCCTCCTGGGGGCCTCTTGGGGCCATCTTGGGGCCTCTTGCGACCTCCTCAGAAGCGCAAATGAGCGCTGCCCCCTGAGAAAGACAAAATGAGCCCAAAACCTTCGTAAAATCAATGATTTTGCTATGAAGGACGATGAGCGCTGCCCCCTCAGAAGCCCAAAATGGGCCCAAAACCATAGTAAAATCAATGATTCTGGCTTCAAAGAAGAGCAGAGGGGCCAAACTCGGCCCCCCCCTCGGGGCCAGAATCCTCGTGAGGGTCGTCGTTTTTTAGCCCTCCCAGGAGTCGAAAAAGACTCCCCCGGCGACCCGCGGGACTCCCTCTCCAGGCCCAGGGGGAGGGGGTAGGGGGAGGGGCAAACCCCTCCCCGAAGGGGAAGAAGGGGGGTTGAGGACAGAGCGGGCTCTCTAAACCACTCACGCCGATGCCCCCTGAGAAGGACAAAATAACCCACAACCTTCACTAAATCAATGGTTGTGTTGTGAAGGAGAGGAGCGCTGCTCCCTCCGGACGCCGAAATGGGGCCGAAACATATTGTTGTTGTGATGCATGTTTCACTCCTTGCCCCATTGGGCCCGCCCTCGTAGCAGTAGTGTTGTGGCGGCTAACGCTCGAGGACATGCAGGCACGCCAGAGATAATGCGACAGTTCGCGTCTGTGTGCGTTGCAGATATGTGAGTCGTTCCAGCTCTTCGTGGTATGAGTCGTTGGGGCCCCTCGTCCTTCCTTGTGTGACTCCTTCGGGCCCCTCATTGTGTGTAAGTCGTTTGGGCCCCTCGTGGTGTGAGTCCCCTCCTTGTGTGTGAGTCGTTCGGTCCCCTCCTCCTGGTGTAACTCGTTCGGGCTCCGCGTGGTGTGAGTCGTTCGGGGCCCGCGTCGTGGTGTGAGTCGTTCGGGCTCCTCGTGGTGTGAGTCGTTCGGGCGCCTCGTCCTGGTGTGAGTCGTTCGGGCCCTTCCTTGTGGTGTGAGTCGTTCGGGCTCCTCGTGGTGTGAGTCGTTGGGGTCTCTCGTCCTGGTGTGAATCGTTCGGGCTCCTCGTGGGGCCTGTTGGGGGCCGCTTGGAGCCTCTTGGGGCGTTGTGGGGGCCTCTTGGGGGCCTCTTTGGGGCATCTTGGGGGCCTCTTGGAGCCTCTTGGGGCCTCTTGGGGGCCTCTTGGGAGCCTCTTGGGGGCCTCTCGGGGCCTCTTGGGGGCCTCTTGGGGGCCTCCTGGAAGCCTCTTGGGAGCCTCCTGGGAGCCTATTGGGGCCATCTTGGCGCCTCTTGCGACCTCCTCGGAAGCGCAAGTGGGCGCTGCCCCCTGAAAAGGACAAAATGAGCCCAAAACCTTCGTACAATCAATGATTTTGCTATGAAGGAAGAGGAGCGCGGCCCCCTCCGAAAGCCAAAATGGAGCCACAACCGTCGTGAAATCAATGTTTTTTGCTTCAAAGACGAGCTGAGGGACCAAACTCCCCCCCCCCCCTCGGGGCCAGAATCTTCGTGAGGGTCGTCGTTTTTTGGCCCTCCCAGGAATCAAAAAAGACCCCCCTGACGACGCCCCGGACGCCTTGTCCAGGTCCAGGGGGAGGGGGTAGGGGGAGGGGTAAACCCCTCCCCGAAGGGGAAGAAGGGGGGTTGAGGACAGAGAGAGCTCCCTAAACCACTCACGCCCAAAGGGCTGGTGGGATTTATACATATGTATATATGCATTGATGTCTACATGTATGTATGCATGTATGAATGTATGTATGTATGTATGTATGCATGTATGTATGCATATATATATATGTATATGTAAATGTTTATGTATATACATATATATATATATATGTGTGTATACGCATGCATATGCATACGTGTATACACATATGTATGTATGGTTGTATACATATATACATACATGCATGCATACATACATACATTCATGTAAACGCATGTATGCATCCATTCATGCATCCACACACATACATACATGCATGCATGCATGCATGCATGCATGCATACATGCGCATATGTATATATGCACATACGTAGACACATACAGATATACATGCATAAACATATACATATACATATACCCACGCAAGAGGCCCGTGCGCCTGGGGCCGCGACCTGGAGGGGGCACGGCGGGACCGGGGCCTCCGTGACCGCTCCCAGAGCACCCCAGAGGGGCCGTGGAGCCCCCAGACTACCCCAGAAAGCTCCAAGACGCTCCCAGAAGCCCCCGGGGGACTTCGACAAGCCCCTCCAAGACAGCCCAGATAGCCCCAACGTGGCCCAAGATGGGCTCCTGAACGCAAATGCACAGCCCAAGTGACCTCCGAGAAGCCTCAAGAGACCTCCGAGAGCGTCCCGAGAGAGCCCGAAGAGGCCCACATACTTGATTCCCATGTGTTTTTCCTATGTTTTTCGGTGTCTCGTGTTTTCGATTTTCCGACGCTCCAAGACGGCCGACGACGTCCCCAAGACCGCCCTAAGACCGCCGAAGAGGCACCTAAAAGAGCCCCAAGACAGCCCCAGGGAACCCGAACATTGCCCAGGAGGAACCCCAGACGGCCCAAGAGAACTCCAGGACAGGCCCAAGCTGGGCCCCAGAGCGGGAGCGGGAGGTCCCAAGGCGCTCCAAGACGGCCCAGATGGCCCCAACGTTCGGGGGTGGACAGACCTCCTACCCTGACACGTCGATTAAGGAATTGGCCGTTTTCGGTTCGCGAGAGGGCGTCGCGGCCGTCATTTTGCGGGTCCAGGTCCGTCGGTTTCGGTCCCAGGCCGTTTTCACTAAGGGGAGGTCTACTAAAGGGAGGTTTGTCCACCGCCGAAACGTGGCCCCAGATAGACCCAACATGGCCAATACACAGCCCAAGAGGCCTCCAAGAGTCCCCAAGAGAGTTCCGAGAGGCGTCCCGAGAGAGCCCGAAGAGGCCCACCTCCTTGATTTCCCGTCGTTGTTGTTCCAATGTTTTTCACTTTCTCGCGTTCTCGAGCTTCCAACGCTCCAATATTGCCGAAGACGCCCCGAGGATCGCCCCAAGACCGCCGAAGAGGCCCCCCAAAGAGCCCCACGACGGCCCAAGGGAGCCTGAAGACTGCCCAAGAGCAGCCCAAGACTGCCCAAGAGAGCCCCAGGACAGGCCCAAGCTGGGCCCCTGAGCGGGAGCGGGAGGCCCGAAGGCGCTTCAGGACGGCCCAGATGATTCCAACGTGGCCCCAGAGGAGCAGAGTGTCCCGCTGCAGGGGTCGTTCGGCCGTTCAAGCCAGGGCGCCCAGCTCCGCAAATGAAAATGCTCGGGCCCTTGCGGCGCCCCGAAGACACTTCCAACGTGCCTTCGGCGCGTTACATGCACACGCACTTCACCTCTGCGCACGCGCCAGGAGCAGTTGGGCTCGATATTGTAGCCGCCACCCCTGAGATTCACAGTGCTTCTGTAAGCTCTTGTTGGAGCATCTCTCGCAGCGGGACCGGCCTTGTCTGGTAGCAGTCCGCAAGAGAGTTCCGAGAGACGTCCCGAGAGAGCCCAAAGAGGCCCACATCATTGATTGGCATTGGTTTGTTCGATGTGTTTCGCTTTCTCGCGTTCTCGAGCTTCCAATGCTCGAAGACGGCCGAAGACACCCCCAAGACCGCCCCAAGACCGCCCCAAGATCGCCGAAGGGGCACCTAAAAGAGCCCCAAGACAGCCCCAGGGAACCCGAACATTGCCCAGGAGGAACCCCAGACGGCCCAAGAGAACTCCAGGACAGGCCCAAGCTGGGCCCCAGAGCGGGAGCGGGAGGCCCCAAGGCGCTCCAAGACGGCCCAGATGGCCCGGGCCTCCACCCTCCGTCCCTCCTTCCCTCCCGCCCTTTCCCTTTGCCTCCATTCCCTCCTCGTTCCTCTTCCTCCCCATCACCCCCCAGCTTTTGTGCTCCTCCTTCTTCTCCTAGGACGGCCCCAACAGAGCGCCAGACAGGCCCCGCCAAAGCAAGCGGGGCGTCGCTATACCCTATCATTTCGCAAGTTGTTTTGCCCCTCCCACCCCTCAAGGGCGGCCCCGGCAGAACGAGAGGGGTGTTGTTATACCATGCGCAGTCCCGGATCGGTCTTGCTCCTCCCACCGGACCCGAGGTAGCCCTGTCAGAGCGCACGGGGTGTGGCTATACCATATTTTTCCTCGGCTTTCGTGCTGCACCCTCCCCTCCAGGGCAAGCCCCGCCAAAGCGCCAGGGAAACCCCCGCCTGAGAGAGCAGGGCATCCCTACACCATACTATTTCACGCGGTTCCTGCTCCTCCCACCTTTGCAGGGCGGACCCGCCCGAGCGAGCGGAGTGTGGCTATACTGCACAATTTCTCAGGTGTCGTGCCCCCCTTCACCTCTTGAAAGGCCTCGCCAGAGCGCCAAGAAGGTACCGCCAGAGCCCCCGTCAGAGCTCCAGGCAGCCCCATACATGGGACTTGCAAGGCAAATCAGTGAGCATCCCCCGTGGGTCCGAACGTTTTGATCCCACGGGTACGATTATCGCCACCATGAGGTTTGGCGTCCAGCACAAAGAAGTCCCCCCACTCCCGTGGACGGACTCGACAACAAGTGATTGCAGAGAAGGGCACTGATGACCGGGACATCTGCGCGCGCCCTCTGCAGATACCCGACAGCTGAACGACCGTGGAAAACGAGAGGCATGGAGCACAAGGGAAAGGAAAAACAAACAACGCGCTCCCACGCGCGCGCAACGAGGCCCCGAGCCAACCCCAACATCAGGAACTGGGGGATGTATGCGTGACCGGGCATGTGGGGACCGAACAAATGTGCAAAATAATTGTCACGACGGGGCAGAGCGTAAGTGGACGTGGAGATAAGAACGGGGGAACTTGGCGCCACGCGTTCTGACTACGCGTTTGCGTCGATGGCATGGGCCCGAGAACGCTGGATATCGTCGTCGTGGCCACGGCGGGGCTCACAGCGGCACCCGTGGTTCTAGTATATGTATATATATACATGTATATACATATATATATATATACATGTATACATATATACACATGTATATCTCCCTCTCTCTCATTCTCTCTCGACGCGTCCAAATGTTCGGACATCGGAGGGGCACCGCTCCCCGTGGCCGCCCGCCCCCGCGCACGGAACGGCGGGGAGTTGGCCCGTGGGAATGGCGGGCCGGGATCCCCTGGTGGAGCGCCCCACCGAAGGCGGCTGTAGTGCCTCCGTTGCCCAGGAGGGGGGGGGGGGGTCCCAGAGGGAAAAACAACGACGCGTCCGACGAAAGCAGTTACCTCGCCCCCTCGACGAAACACGTTGCCCTTTTGCCAGGGGTCCCAGTGGCACACGTGCCCTCGGCATCGCTCGGGCGTGCGCCCTGTTGTCGGCGAGGGCCATCGGGGTGCAGGTTGGATCATCTCGGGAAGAGCAGGCGCACAAGGCCGACACACTACACGGGGAAGGGGCGTCCGAGCGATGGCAGGGCGGCAGGAAGTTCAGGAGCGGGAGGAGGAGGAGGGAGACGACGGGGCCCAAGGACGAACAGCAGGCCGACGAGGGCGAGGGATTGCAAAAAAACCCTTCGTTCAAGTGAGGTTTTTTTTGTAATCCTTCGTTCAAGTGAGGTTTTTTTTGCAATCCTTGGTTTTTTGGCAATCCTTCGTTGGGTTGTTTTTGCAATCCTTCGTTGGGTTTTTTTGCAATCCTTCGTTCGAGGGCGAGGATCGGTTCGAAGAGGGGGGATCTCGTTCCTACCGCTCCTCTCTTCCTTGAGGAAGCTGGAGGCCCAGAAATGACCCCGGCTGACAAGCGCATTGATCCTTCCCTTCCTCCGCTTCGCTCTCCTGGGGGAGGGCGGATGGGTCAGGCTGCCGCGTTTCTCCTTGTTGTACCACCCTGGATTCCGATTGTTCGTTTTTTTGAGGTTGCGTTGACTATGGTGATAGGACCACGGCGGCAGGATCATTCTGATGAGTGGGCACCGGCTCAGGCGAAGGAGCCCGGTACATGACAAGATTTCGAGGCGGCAGCCAGTGAGTGAAAATTCGCCCGCCAGGGCGCAGAGCAGGCGTGTCGCTCCGAGGGACTGGCAGGCGGCCGCCTCGGTCTGCGTTCCTCCTCCTTCGCGCGCGTGTGTTGTGGGAGGAGGAGGAGGGGGAGGAGGAGGAGGAGGAGGAGGAGGAGGAGGAGGAGAATACGAAGCAAAACATGTATAAAAGCAATACAATTAATAATGCGAGTAAGAAGAACAATAAGGAGATCAGACGACGAGCTCGTTCTGATCCTGCGTTCCAACACAGCGCAACACAGACGACATCGTACAACATAGCGGCCAGAGCTCGAGACCAACTCTTCCTGCGGCACTTCCGGGGCCACTGCGATTTGTGAGGACCGTGGGGCCCACACCGAGTGAGAACGCCTGGTGTGGAAACACTGCGGCGCCCAGGTCTCAGGGGATGTCATGCGGTGAACGGAGGAGGAGGAGGAAGAGGAGGAGGAGGTGCATCGAAGAAAGTCAGCACATGCATCAATATGAATCGTCGGAGCACCGCGCCGAGGTCTTGGATCGGCGCTGGACACCTGGCCCCTGGCGCACGGAGCGTGCCATATTGATGGTGGGTCCGGAGCCGATCCCGGGAGGCCGCGCGACTCTCTGGAAGTTTAGGCGTGTGCAGCTGCTTTTTCTTCAAGGAGCACGATCCCCCCTCCAGCGACGAACGAACAACACACACCCGTACCCCTAGGGGGTCGGAGGGAGGAGGACTGGCTATTGGTATGGATGCGGGTTGTCGGACCGCGGGGAGGCTCCCTTTCGAGCGGGAGGCCATCTGACAACACGCACCCGCAGCCCCCTCTGGCCCCCCAATGGGGGTGGGTGTGTTGTTCAGTCGTCATCCGGGGCCCATTTCGGTCCGATCGATCCGATTCTATATCGATGTCGGCCGGCCCGCTGCCTGCATGGCGCTGTTGTGCATCCTGGCGTGGCCGGTACGAGTCCGAGTCCGTGCCGATGCAGTCCGACCTGACTCAGCTGAGTCCGAGTCCGTGCCGATGCAGTCCGACCTGACACAGCTGAGTCCGAGTCCGTGCCGATGCAGTCCGACCTGACACAGCTTCCTATCCGATCCGATGTCCGACTCGATGTCGAGTGATGCCCCCACCCTCCCGGTGTAGTTCGGCGCGCACGAGCGCAGCCGCCGCGCCGCCCAGGGGACCTTCGTGGCCAGGGGCAGCATGCCCGAGGAGATGGTCGCCCTCGTGGAGCCCCGGGCCGCCGGCGTGGCCACTTCGGTATGAGGCCAGTCTGAGGCTAGGTCCGTTCAGGAGGGAAAAAAACGCACACACAATTAATCGACGATTCCCCAGAAAATATAGGAAAATATGGGAAGTGGGGGGGAAAACAGAAACCCAGAAAATATGGGAAAATATAGGGGAGTCTGGTTATTTGTGTCTATTTATATGTGTGTCCCAGTTCCCCTTCATCCGTTCCAGAGCGTGCCCGAACGCTCTCAGAGCGTTCCGGCACGCTCTGAGGAGGCCGCGGCGCCCGGAAACATCCCGGAGGTTGATGGGCCTCCTACCCTGACGCGTCGATTGGCGAATTGGCCGTTTTCGGTCCGCGAGAGGGCGTCGCGGCCGCCATGTCTGCGGGTCCTGGTCCGTCGGTTTCGGCCCTGGGCCGTTTTCTTTAAAGGGAGTATTGCTGAAGGGAGGCTTGTCCCCCCGCCGAACATCCTCCAGAGCCGCAAGACCTCAGAGATTCAGGAGGGGAAAAAACACACAGACACACTGAATCGTCGATCCCCAGGAAAATATGGGAAGATATGGGAAGTGGGGGCCAAGACAAAAATCAGGAACATATGGGGAAAATATAGGGAATCACTTTATTTGTGTGTAGTTATTTGTGTGTGTCCCAGGGCCCCTTCAGAGATGCCCGATGCATTCTCGCCCGAGCTGGTCCTCGTCCTGGCCTCGGCGCGGCCCTCCTCGACGGGGGCCGAGGGGCGGGGAGGAGTCACGCAGGGGCGGCGAGCCCTGGCCTGCCCAGAAGGGTTCCACTCCTCCTCCTCCTTCTCCTCCTCCTCTTCTTATTCTACTATTTGGTGACATTCTTTTCCTTATCAATATTTTTATTATTGTTAGTATTGATATTATTCTTATTTCTACACTATTCATGATTATTCGTATTATTATTATTATTATTATTATTATTATTATTGCCATTACTATTTTTATTATTGTTACTCCTGTACGGTTTCGTCCTCTTCCCCGAGGCTCGAGGCGTCAAACTCTCGGGCGGCTCCGTCGGTGCGCGGCGACCTCGCCGGTCTCGGGGGGCGGCGGCTCCGGCGGCCTGCGCCCCGCCGAGGTGCAGCAAAACGGTGCGGCTCTCTGCGGAGCCCTTCTCCCAGGGCGCCCCTCGAAGGCGCGAAGTTATTCGCGCTTCCTTCTCCCCCTCCTCCTCGTCCTCCTTCTCCCCCTCCTCCTCGTCCCTTCTCCGTCTCCCCCTCCTCCTCGTTCCTTCTCCGCATCGCGGTCCTCGTTCCTTCTCCCCCTCCTCCTCGTCATCCTTTTCTCCCCGGACACCTTCTCGGGCTCTGGACCCCGACATCTGACGATGTGTATTGTTGTTCAACAAGAACTCGGAAAAGGCAAAGGTGCCTATACCGCTACGCTTCCTTCGTTTTCCCCTTTTGGGACCTCCTGAGACGCCCTCGTCGCCACTGCTGGATTCGCCTCGAAATTCTGGTCAGAACGCACCCCGGGAGAGGTCCAGGGAGTAGCGGTATCGGTACCTTTTTTGGTTGTCCCAATAATTGCGTTGTGTATTGATTCGGAGGTCCGCGCGGACCTGAATTTTCGGTGTGTGTGTAGTCGTTTGTTCTCAAGTTGACATTCTCATTCTACCGTCGTCATCTTAGCCAGCCGGATTGGATATCCAGGTGCATGCGGCGAGTCTTCCACCGCGGCAGCGACGAACTCTGTGCGGCGGCCGTTCGAGCAACGCCCAGCCGCCACACGTGACACCCCTAGTCTCCATCTCTTGATTACCCGACTGAAGCAGATCCCCAGCTCGAGGACTGGTATCACCGTGTCTCGAGGCCGATCCGAAGGATTCGCCCCGTTTCTGAGGGCACCTCCCCAAGATTGCGGTCGCCTCGGTCTAGACCAATCCGAGGGATGGGCATGAGCTCGAGGCCGGTCACTCGAGTCTCGTGAGGCTTACCTGTGCCGTCTTGGGCTCCTCTGGGGCAGTCTTGAGAGCCTTGTCGGGCGCCCCGCGGGCGAAGGCGGGCGCCGGAGACGCCGCGAAGGCGCGAGGGGAGAGCAGTGCCCCGTCGGGCGGACGTGCGAAGCCTCTCAGAGGGGCTACGGAAACCACCGCCACCGAGAACCCCTCCTCCTCCACTTCCTCCTCCTCCTGCTCCACCTCCTCCTCCTCCTCCTCCTCCTCCTCCTCCTCCTCCTCCTCCTCCTCCCCCTCCCCCTCCCCCTCCTCCTCCCCCCCGAGGGGGCGACCCCGCGGCGCAGGCGCGCCCGAGCGACACCCAGCACACCAGACGACGTTCGGGCGCGCCTCCGCCCAGGGGGGGGAGGCTCCCCCCGATGGGGCTCTCGGAGGCAGCGGCCTGGGCTTCTCCTCCTCCTCCTCCTCCTCCTCCTCCTCCTCATCCTGCCCCTCCTCCTCCTCTCCTCCTCCTCCTCCTCCTCCTCCTCCTCCTCCTCCCCTCCTCCTCCTCCTCCTCCTCCTCCTCCTCCTCCTCCTCCTCCTCCTCCTCCTCCTCCCCCCGAGGGTCTCGAGAGCCCGCACCGGCTCGCCGCGCCGAGCAGGGTGGCTCTTGGTCCGGCCGCCTCGGGGCGGCGTGCCGTCGTCGGGTGAAGCACGGCCGCTCGGGACCGGCCAGCAGGTTCCGAAAAAAGGTTCCCCTCCCCCTCCCTCGGGTTCGCCTCCCCCTCTCCCTCCCGCTCCCCACAACCCCCGGCACGCCCACCCCTTCCATGCAGCTGGCAGCAGCTCGGAATGGTACGCCTCAGTAGGCTCGGCGGCCCGAACGGGCAGCCCATGAGGCGTTGGCCATTCGGGCCCATCGGCTGCTGCCCTCTCTTCGGTCCGAGAGGTGGCGGACGGAGCACGAGAGCGACCAGCCGCTCACCGCGAGGCACAGGGATTGCGCCCATGCCGTACCCGGCCCCCCCCCTCGCCCCTGCCGCTACTCCCCGAGCCCGCCAGGGAGAGGCCAGCCCCGTGCCCCTGCGCCTCAACGAATGATCATGGATCGTATCCTTGGTCCTTTTAACCTGTATTGGTATACATTGACGATCTCATAATCTTTGCTGACGCTGCTTGGGCACGCCCTGCACCCCGACAGCTCCGACGAGCGCCGTCCCCCCATCGGCACGCGCTCGCCAGGCCTGGCGCCGCCCGAGCAGCGCCGCGCCCGCGCCGCGTGCCGCGCCCGCGGAGGAGAAGTACAAGCTGGACCACCGAGCCACCGAGCGCCTGGTGGAGAGCCTGCGGGACCGGAAGGACACGAGGCGCGTTTCGCGGGCGCCGGCGGCGGCGGCGCCCCCTGCGTCGCCACGGCTGGGCGCACCTCTCCTCCTCCTCCTCCTCCTCCTCCTCCTCCTCCTCCTCCTCCTCCTCCTCCTCCTCCTCCTCCTCCTCCTCCTCCTCCTCCTCTTCGTCCTCCTCCCGGGAGGGAGTCTGTCGGGGGTGAACAGAACCCCCGCCCTGACACGTCGATCAGTGAATTGTCCACTTCCGGTTCTCGAGAGGGCGCCGTGGCCGTCACTTTCCAGGCTTGCGCCCGCCAGGTTTGGGCCCGAGGTCGTTTTCGATAAACCACGTCTTACTAAAGGGAGGTCTGTCCATCCTCGAGTCTGGGCGCACCTCTCGGAGGCCTCATTTTCCTCCTCCTCCTCCTCCTCCTCCTGCTCCTCTTCCTCCTCCTCTTCCTCCGCCTCCTCCTCCGCCTCCTCCTCCTCCTGGGGAGGGGTCTGGGGATCGATGTCGAGCTGCCGCTGTCCCAGCTCGCCCTGGATCGTGCTTGAGTTTTTCTAGCGTCTCCGTTCGCCCCGCTCCGGGTAATAACCCACGGCGGCGGCGAGGGCGAACACGTGCGAGCCGCGAACGAATGCAAAACGATGCATAGAAGGAGAAGGGCACGCCAGCAGTCGTTACGGCGTTCCTTTCGGCCGACCGATCGGTGTACACCCCGGTCGTTGAAAGTAGGTATTTCTGGATTCCCTGATCCCAATCTACTTCAAGCGCCTTCCTACTTCAATAATCGGCATGATTTTGCTGTGTTTTGTTGTTCTCTGGGAGGACCTGGACCCAATCCACTTTGTCCGCCTTCTACTTTATGTTTTTACCTACTTCTTCCGACCGACGTGTACACTTTGGTCGACGCCTCCGATGCTCAGAGACTGACTGCAGTAGGCGGCCAGTCTGGCGCAACTCCTGGTCGCCGGAGGGCTGGCCTGGCTTCGGGCCCCAGGCCCGGCCAAAGCCGGCACCTCGGAAATCAAGAGCTGGCCGTCGGGAAGGGGTCGAGAGGTCGTTGGGGCCAGCGCGTCGAACAAATTGAGGCGCCAGATGTCTGGGCGGACGACGACGACGAGGACGACAGCGTGGGGCCCACTTAAGTCCGATCGATCCAATTCGTTATCGATGATGGCAGGCTCGGTCCAATTTGATTTCGATATTCCGACGAACCGGCGCGACCCGATGATTGCCTAGCGTTGTCTTGCATCTTGGCGCAGTTCGATCTTGATTGGTCCTGCCCCTTCTCCCAGGCACTGGCTCTTCCTTCCGAGTCGTTCTGTTGACGGTCCATGGGCCTGGTTCGGGCCCCGAGAGGCCGAACATTCAAGCAGTGGCGAAGCGTCATGGCTCGCCTATAGGCCTACCACATAATATTCTAAGAATGTTTTGTGGCTTGCACGAAATGTTCTTAGAACATTTCTGGTTGGGACTCTCTTGTTTTAACACATCGGGGTGATGTTCTAAAAAACATTGTTTTGTGATTCGGACATTACGTGGTTGAACTATAGGAATTCCGGGACGGTCGGTCCCTGCTCAAAACATTGATAGAACCGTGAACGCGGTGCAGTTCTTACTCAAGAGGCTTGCGCCATTGCGCCGGCCCCCCCGACAGTGCATTCGGCAAGAGTCGTGCCACCGTGCCTGGCCTGTGGGTCAGGAGCCTCGGGGATGCCTGTGAGGGTTTCCTGGGATGCCTCTCAGGGGCCTCTTTCGACTAGACGTAAGAGTGACCTTTCGCCGGAGTGACCTTTGGTGCGGGCACAGATGGGTCCCCAGATGGCTGAAAACGAAGCAGGAGCAGCGGCTTGCGCGCCCAGGTTTGGTCCCCCCGCGGCCCACAAAAAGCCGCGCACCAAAGGTCACTCTTACCCAGGGTCACTCTTGCGCGTAGCCGACTCTTGGAGGGCTCCTGGGAGCATCTCATTGGGAAGGCCCTACGGCCGGTGCCGCCGACCCTGAAGACGACGGCGTTGACCTCAGCGAAGAGAGGAGGATGTGAACGAGGAGACGTAAGAAGGCTCCCTGTCGACGGGACTGGACAGACCCCCCCACACACACGCCGACAGGGTCGGAGGATTTGCTTTGGGGGGCCTCTCCGGGAAGCCTCTTGGGGACTCTGCATGTGAGGTGACCGGTGGCTCTTGTGGCCATCGCGGCGGGAAGCACTCGAGACGTCAATTCGCATTGCCCTTCTTTCGGTATCCTTTAACCAACCCCCATCCCCATCCCCATCCCCTTCGAGACCCCCACCTAATTACCAACCCAGTTGGGGATACACCCCTCGAAACCCGAAGGGAACGACCTACATCCCCATCTAGGGGGGTAAATCGGCCAGTGGGGCCCAGGCCAGGCCGCTGGGGATGGGTATCGGTTAAACGATACTCAGTCTTGAGGTCCTCTTGGGCTGTCTCAGTGGCACCTTGGGTCGTCTTGGGGCCTTCTTGGGGCTCTATTGGGCCGTCTTGGGGCCCTGATGTGGGGCCTCGTGGGGCCGTCTTGAGACGATCTTGCGGGCTCCTGGGCCGTAGTGGACGCTGTCAAGACGAAGAAGGCGTGCATGTCAAAAGAGTACGATTTCCAACAGGAATGGAACGATTTCGGCCTCTTGGGGCCCTCTCGGCGGCCCTCTGTGAGCACTCTTGGCCGTCTTGGGGGCTTCGCAGGCCTTCCTGAAGCCATCTGGGACCGTCGCGATTTGGAGCTCCAGGGGAGGGGGAGAGGGGCAGCGGGACGGTCAATCATCATCCCACACGCCTTCTCTCCCCGGCAAGCGGGGTCGGCGGATCAACAACGCGGGGGGAGTCTGCGGAGGCGACCGCAAAGGCGACGGTGAATACTGCGGCGAGTGCGACGGCTGCCCCGACCCCGACCGCGTCGGCGGCGGCACAGCGCGAGCGTGCGAGCGCACCTGCGGCGGCGAGCAAGGAGGGCCCGACGTCCGACGGTGGCCGCGAGGGCGCGCTGTAGGTCCAGAGAGGCTTGACAGCTTGAAGACCTCCTCCTCCTCCTCCTCCTCCTCCTCCTCCTCATGCTCCTCCTCCTCATCCTCCTCCTCCTCCTCCTTGGCCTGGACGTCTGGCGGATTGCTTTGGTCGAGCTGGGCGCTCTCAGGTCAGAGGCTGCCCCCGGGGGAGGGGTCCCGACCTGTGCCCTCCCGGACTCCCCCCGAAGCAGTGCTGCGCGCAGGCAGGGGTTCTCGCTTGCCTCCCCGAGGAATCGGATGTCTGCGCCGAGGTGTCGCCACTCTGCCGCCAGTGGGCACCTCGTGGGCGCCCCGTGCGCGCCGGGTGGGTCCGCCGACGTTTCGCCACGTTGCCGCACGTGGGCGTCTCGTGGGCGTCCCGTGCGCGCCGGGTGGGTCGGCCGAGGTTTCGCCACGTTGCCGCTCGTGGCGCCTCGGTGGCGCACACTGCACAGTTAACACGGCATGGATGACACCACGTGGCGTACCTCTTGTAGCTCATATCGAGTCGATTGGGTCACATGGCTTGCACTGCGTAGCTCACAGATCAATGCTCGCACCACGCAAGTTGCACAGCCTGTTTTACACCACAGAGCACATCGCACGTATAGGGCAGGGCATACATGGCGCCACTTAGACTTCACATAGCTCACTTCACACACACACACACACGTATACATATATATATATATATATATGTATACACAAATACATATATAACTATATGTATATATATATATATATATATATATCCGTAAGGGCTTCGCCCCCTGCCGCCGGCCCCCTCTCTCGGAGAATGGGCCATGGAAGAGCTAAGTCATGAGGCCTTGGCGCTGTCGTGAAGCAGTATCGAAACTTCATGCGAAGCCGAGTCGCAATCAGCAAAACCAACTGATCACAAGAGGGGTTACCACACCTGGCGATTGGTAAGACGTGTATGGTTTAAGGGCTTGGTTACCACACCTTGCGATGAAAGGGCCGAGGGAGTTCTCGCAGTTTGGGTTACCACGCCTTGCGATGGATGTGCGTGATGGGTTTGAATTTCAGAAATGTGGCAAATCCCCTGTGTTTTTGGACCCTGACCCCGCGGATCTGCGTGAGGGGTGGCACCGAATTTCAGAAATGTGGCAAATCCCATGTGTTTTTGGACCCTGACCCCGCGGATCTGCGTGAGGGGTGGCACCGAATTTCAGAAATGTGGCAAATCCCCTGTGTTTTTGGACCCTGACCCCGCGGATCTGCGTGAGGGGTGGCACCGAATTTCAGAAATGTGGCAAATCCCCTGTGTTTTTGGACCCTGACCCCGCGGATCTGCGTGAGGGGTGGCACCGAATTTCAGAAATGTGGCAAATCCCCTGTGTTTTTGGACCCTGACCCCGCGGATCTGCGTGAGGGGTGGCACCGAATTTCAGAAATGTGGCAAATCCCATGTGTTTTTGGACCCTGACCCCGCGGATCTGCGTGAGGGGTGGCACCGAATTTCAGAAATGTGGCAAATCCCATGTGTTTTCGGACCCTGACCCCGCGGATCTGCGTGAGGGGTGTCGATTTCGAGCCCCCCCAGCAATTCAGACAACGCGCCCAGGAGACGCTAAAAATCTCGTTTGGGCCTCCCCCCCCTCGCGCGGTCAATCAACTAGTTACAGTAACCAGCAAGAAGTCAACTAGTTACAGTAACCAGCAAGAAGCAGAACCGTAACACTGGAAACTACAAGCTACAACTGGTACTGGAAACTGCGAACCCGTGCCTCGCAGCCTGGTGGCCCCACAAGGGGGCCGGCGGACATCTATAGATTGCACCACGTCTGCTGCCCTGCGTGGCTTACACCACATACCACGTATATTGGCGGCGTGCCCAGGGGTGAAAGTGAGAAGGGGTGGGCCTTCTCAGAAGGCTCGGAAGTCCCCCCGGCCTCCTGAGAAGTTGTCTAAGTCTTCCTGCAAGGCAGAAGACTTCTCAGAAGGCGCGAGAGTTTCTGAGAATTCCCCGCCGCCTTCTGAGAAGGCCTTCTCCTTCTCACTTCCACCCTCGCTCGACGCGAAGTATATTGCACATGTACTGCAGTGCAAAGCGTATGTTACATCACATACCACGTATATAGTATATAGCACCACATAGTTTACACCGCATAGCTCACACCACATATCGTAGAACATATACTGCGCCACCTTGCTTACACTTCACAGCTCGCACAACACAGGTCACGCCTCATGCATCTCACTACATGCCTTACACTTCCACGGTGCAACATCTCATTGCTTTGGGTCCGCGTTTGCACACATGTTTGCTTTAAGCTGAAAAAGCTCGTACACCGCCGGGAGAGCCAGTCTTCCAGGACGCCAGGAGCCAGCAGATACCCAGACATCCTCCGATATGAGTTATGTCAACCAGTGTTCCCAGAGCTCCCGATCCCTTCCCATGGGGGTAGTTTTGCCACCCGGATCAGTGGTCCAGGCCGGCCGGGTGAAGGGTCCCCGAGGCCGAAACGAGGGAAACACTCTCGTACACGCCGTTCGTTGAAAGTGGGTATTTTTGGATTCCCAGATCCCGATCTACTTCAAGCGCCTTCCTACTTCAAGCGTCGATGTGCTCCTGCTCTGTCTCGTTGCTCTCTGGGAGGGCCGGAGCCCTGTCTGCTTTCTGTCCCGCCTTCCTTCTCTCCATGGTTCCACCTATCCCTTCCGACTGGCGGCGTGCAGTGGGCAAGCGTTCTGTCGTCGGAGATGTGGGTACGGACCTCGTGCCCCAGGGGGGTGGGGCCCAGGATGTCCGTAATTGCCCGCTGCCTCCCGGGGCGGGGGAGGAGGAGGAGGAGGACGGGGAGGAGGAGGAGGAGGAGGAGGAGGAGGAGGAGCAGGAGGAGGAGGTCGAGGAGGAGGAGGGAGGAGGAGGAGGAGGAGGAGGAGAGGAGGAGGAGGGGAGGAGGAGGAGGAGGAGGAGGAGGAGGAGGAGGAGCCCGGGGCGCCAGCTCCCTGGGGACCCGTGCGTATGGGCACGAGTCGTGGCCTCGGGGGAGGGCCGCGGTCCTCGAGGTCGGCGGCCTGCGGCCAAGCGAGGGCGCTTCTGTGCGCTCCCGGGGCGTCCCAGGCGCTCGCAGGCGCTTCCAGGGGCGCCTGGGAGCGCTTGGGAGCGCTAGTGGGAGCGCCTGAGACACCCCGACCCCGGCATCTCGGGTAGGGGATCGACTACCCGATCGATTCACCCCAAAAATTGATTCGGGGATGGATAGCCCTCCTACCCTGACACGTCGATTAGCGAGTTGGCCGTTTTCGGTTCGCGAGAGGGCGTCGCCGCCGTCAGTTTTTGCGGGTCCGGGTCCGTCGGTTTCGGTCCCAGGCCGCTTTTACTAAGGGGAGGTTTTCTAAAGGGAGGTTTGTCCACCGCCGATTGATATTCGGTCGAGTCCACGAAGGAAAGCTCAGAATGCTCTGTAGATGTGCGAACTTTTCCGTTCACCCCAAACATTGATTTTCGGTCAAGTCTACGAACGAATGCTCAGAGTTCTGTGCAGATGTGCGAACTTTTTCGTATTGGTTTGCAGTCTCGACGAACGAGCCAATTTTGGGTTGCATCGATTCTGTAGTCGATCCCCTAGTCGAATAACTGGTGTTCACCAAAAGGTCCAGGGCGTTTTCTAAGCAGACCAGCCCTGTTCGGTTCTCTCTCCTCAGGCCCCAGACCCCCTCGCGTCGGAAAAATGTCACGGCGGATGTTGAGATCAATCAGCTCCTGGGGCCCTCGCTGGGCCCGGGGCCGTCAAGGAGCGAGTCATGAATGGGTCGAGATTCCTGGGGGCCAGGTTGGCTGTGGTGGCGAAATCACGACGTCGGGGATCTGGGGTGCGTTTGTTCCACGGCGTCACCGCCCCCCTGTGTCGGAGGCGACGCTTCGGGGGATAGGCCGAGTGGGGGGATGCATCGACCCAAATCGCCCATTCTTCACCGATGGCTGCCTGATGGCCTACCCCCCGCCCAGGACCGTGGCGTTTCAGGGTCGGTGTCCTGCCGTCAATCTGTTCGAGAGGTATCGCCGATTCCAGCTCGGTGGTGTCCCCCCCCGAGCCGGTCCCCTGGGTGGGCTCCAGGTCAGAACTCGGACCTCCAGCGGTCGTTCGGGCGATGCAGGCACCCCGGGAACGCTCTCGGCGAGGCGCGGCCGCTGGAATGCACCCCCCGCGGCTGGAGGGCCGCCGAGAACAGACGGAGACGTCCGAGAACCTCGAAAGCCCGAACGTCGAGCTTGCCCCTCGGCGATCACGGACGATCGGAGGTCGATGCCCCCCCGAGCCGGTCTCCCCCTGAGCTTACCCCCGCATATTGAGCCTTATCCCCCCCCCCCTGAGCCCATCCCCCCCCCTTCCCCCCCCCGAGCCTGCACCCCCCCCTGGTGTCGCACCCCCCTGTCTGTGCCCCTCCCTGTGAGGGCTGGGCTCCCCCGCGCGCGGCGCCCGCCCCCCCCCCCCCCTCCAGGCGGCAGGACCTGAAGGACCTAGACATCCGGCTCTCCAGCGCCGAGCGGCCCTCTGGGCGCGCCCGCGCGCCCGCCGCCGCGCCGCGAGCCCCGCGTCGCCCCGCTCCACTTGGGGGGGGGGGGGCTCTCGCAGACCGAAGGCACGCAGCGTCCCGGGAGCGTCAGGGCGAGGGGCTCTGCCAGTTTGTGGCCTCTGGGGGCCCCTGCAGGCCAGCCACGACTGGGGGACCTGTGGTCCTTACCCCCCTGGGGGACCCATCGATTTCGACGCCCCTCTCGAGGGATCGTCGATGCGATGGGTTCCTCCAGGGGGGTAAGGACCACAGCTCCCCCAGTTATGGCTGGTCGGCCTTGCCAGGCCCCGGGACTTACAAAGAAACGGCTTGGGATGAGGAGCCGGCCTTGGGGAACGGGCGGGGATTCCATGGGACCCCGCACAGAAAAGGTGGGACACCGCAAGTCTGGGGAAGGGGGTGTTTCATCCCGAGGTAGGGCTAGGGAGCGAAGCCTACTGGAAGCCTACATCTCCTCCCTCTGGGCGCCGTCTTAGGGCCATGCTCCTCGAATCCCACCTCTGACCCACCCCACCTTTGCAGGTTTGCCCCACCGCTGGGCCAGGGAGCGAACCCCATCAGATGCTCACATCTCCTCCTTCCGCGGTCCGCTTGGAGCGATTTTCCTCGAGCCCCACGTTTGCTCCAGCCCCTTTTGAGCGACGCAAGAAACGCGCTCGCCTACGTTGACATTGACGCGTAAGCTGCTCGCGGAAGGTCGCGCGTAAGCGCCTTCGTGGTTATCTAATGTAGCGTGCCGCGCCGACGGCCCGCGTAAGCCACCGCGTAAGGTCGCTGCGTCATCTCGCGTAAGACCTGTTTTTGATCATCGCTCAGTTGCAGCTTTGACAACCGACCCGTGCTCCGCCAGCCGGGCCGCTGGCGCTGTCGTTCGTTGCCGCCGTGGTCGTCGTCGCGGCCTCGAGGCCCATGGCCGCAGAGAATCAGCAGCGAAAGGAGGAAGTACACACGTGAATCCACGTTGGTTTCGAAAGTACGCATTGCGCGAATGCTTGTATCACAAGGCTGGTCTGTCGGACGGGGGGGCGTAGTCAAGAACCCTCATAAGGACGCGCGACTTTGCTCAGGGTACCCTTGCGCCCTTGCTCTTCCTTGCTCTTGCGTCCTTGAGGTTTTCGTCGTCCGCCGCCCCAAGAATCCCAACTTCGGCTTCCAAGGGTCTTGCGTCCTTACCGCGCGTCCTTATTAGGGTTTTTGACTGTACTCACGTACGTGGTTGGGCGCGTGCGTCCTGTGTGGGTGTCCTAAAGGAGGGGAGGAGGCGGGTGCCCGCAGGTGGCGGGCAAAAACGTCCGCGCCTCGGGCATCTCGGCTCTTCTCCGCCCCTTCCCTTCCCCCTTCACCCAAGCAGAGGCGAAGCGTCCTGGCTCGCCTAAAGCCCCACCAAACAATGTTCTAAGAACCGTTTGTGGTTTCCACGAAATGTTCTTAGAACATTTCTGGCGGAGTCTCTCTTGTTTTATCACATCTGGTTAATGTTCTAAGAACATCGTCTTCGTTCTTAGAACATTTGTGGGTTCTAAGAAAAATTCGTGGTAGGACTATAGGAATGCCGGGACGGTCGGTCCCTGCTCAATTCACCCCCTTCCTTCTTTGGAGGTCCATGCCTGGGCAGGTGCAGGTCTTGCCCCCGCTGACCCGTCTCCCTATCATTCAAGATTCTGGCAGGCACCTCGCTGGTGACAAGCAACAGAAATGCTCCCGTCCCTTCCTTTATCCCCCTCCTGCTGCTCATCCTCTTCCTCCCCCCCCTTCCCCCCGCCGTTCCGTCTCCGCCGCGTCCCTGCCTTCTGAATTCCCCCTCGCCTTTCCTCCTTCCATCCCTTTTCTCGTCTCTTGTCTAAATATATTTCGTTGTCCAGGTGTTTGTCCTCCCATCATCAGAATTTCGCCTTATCTCTCTGCAGATGTACACATCTCTCTCTCTTTCCCTCTCCCTCTCCGTCTTCTTTTCTATATCGGTGCTCGCGTTTGCATGCGCATACCGGTATGATGGGTGAACTGTATTTCTACAGATGTACACAACCATGTTCATTATACTTGCATGCTTAAACATCCGCACTTATATGTACATTTATGTGTAATATTGTATAGTGCGATGTATCTCGATGTATGTGTAGATGATGGTTTGGTACGTATGTGCGCACGCAGGTCCATACATGGTTGAACATGTATGTACATATGTAGATATCTAGATTTATACTTATACTCGCAGCCCCTCCCAACACCAACTCATGTTGCATCCTTGCTTTAGATGCAGATACGTGCTGTTACTGGACATCCGCCTGTTTTTTCAATCGTGCCTGCTCATCCATCTTTCCTGTCGGCTTTTGACCGCAATGTTCTCCTGCTGAAATATAATTCGGATCAGCTGGATCTGGGGCCTGCCCTATTATTATAAGAATGAAAGTCGGTTTCAGTTAGACCCCACTTGAACACAGCTGGATCTGGGATGTACCCAGTTCCACTTAGATACTACCGCGGTTCCAATAGAAGTTCTGTTGAAGCGAGCTGGATTCGGCCGACCATCCGGGGGCGGCACACGGGGGGGCTTGCCCTTTCCATCTGCCAGGCCGCCGGTTTCTACCGAGTGGCCAGCCGCCCCCCGCGCCCCACGCAGCCGGGGCTGAGCTTGTGGATGTCTCGAGTGAAGGTGGCGTGGGTCATTCGACACCTGTAACAGTTACGTAGACCGCACATCGCCCCCCCTACCTCGTGTTGGTACACAGTGTTGCACTAAACGGTTATACCCCACCTGTCACGTGGCGAATCCAGCCGTGGCCCCCCAGAGCTCTATCTTACCTGGTTGGAGCCGGTCGAATCCGTACCGGGCCACAGGTAGGAGAGTGTGATGGGGATTTCTCTTTTTGTTGTCTTCTAAAAAACACCGGCACGGTGTAGTTGCCTGGGTGTTTGGTCATTGTGTCATTCGGACTTTTGTGATGTGGGGACAGGGAGGAGAAGAGGAGGGAGGAGACACGGCTTGGTACACAGTGTTGCAGTAAACGGTCATACCCCATCTGTCACGCGGCGTGTCCAGCCGTGGCCCCCCAGAGCTCTATCTTACTTGGTTGGAACCGGTCGAATCCGTACCAGGCCAAAGGTAGGAGAGTGTGATGGGGATGTTTCTTTTGTGGTCTTCAAAAAACACCCTCACTGTGGCGAATCCAGCCGTCGCTCCCCAGCGACCCAATTCCCCCCGCGATTGCTCACAATTCTGAGTGTACTTGCTAATTTCCACTGTGAGATATCCGAACGATCCATGCACAGTCGTCCCATATCCACATGGTCAGGCATCAGTGGTCAGTTGTAGCGACAGGAGTCACATTGACGATGCCTCTGTTGCGCATTCGAGTCTTTCTTTCATCTCTTGAACACTGCTAGTGTAGAGGGAACGGCTGCATTCGCCCGCGCGCAGGCCCGAGGCGGTCTCTGCCGTCAGCCCGCGCCCTCCCTGCCGACCCCGGACACGCCGGCGCAGCAGCGATGGCGGCAAAGCGCCGGGACCAGGTCGACGGTCGTCTGGACGCCCTGGAGCACGCGGTGGCGGAGCTCTGCCAGGGGCAGGCGAACCTGCGGGGCCGGGTCGAGCGCCTCGAAAACGGGACCCGGTTGGTCTCGGTCGGGTTCGAGGGGCCTTGCGAGACTCTCTGGCTGGCGCGTGAGCCACAGATGGAGCACCAGGAGATGAGGCAGGAGTGGCCCGCCGCGGTTGCCGAGACGCTGGCGCGTCAGCTGGGCCTGATCTGGCCCCTGGCGCCGCCGCAGGAGACGAACCGAGACAAAGTCGACCAGGCCGCCGCGGTTGGAGCGATCCAGAGGTTGATGAGTGCCGACGGCGTCCTCCTGGGCGTTTACGCCCAGGACGGCTTTGACGCGGCGGCGGACCGCAGAGTGCGACCCCCGGGCAAGTTCAACGTTGTCCTCGAGCCCTGCCACGAGACGAGCGTCGTCAGAAGCAAGCTGAGGCTGCTCGACCGTCCCCTCCGCCGGGCCTCAAGCCTGGCAGTAGGGGGCGCGCCGGCGCCGGTGGTCCCCGACGGCCAGTCGGCGCCGAGGGCGGTGCTGATGTGGGCCGAGCGCACGAGGACGGAGCGCGAATAAGGCGCCGGCGAGGGAGGCAAGAACGGCCAGGCCGGCAAGGCCGGCGGCAAGGGCAAGAAGGGGGGCAAGGACGGGAAGGGGCGGCGCGGCGTGCTGCAGCGCCCGGCTGCGGCGGGCAACGCGGGGCTGCTCGCGGGAGCGGCCCCGGCGGCGGGCGCAGCAGCAGGCGGAGGCGTCGGCGCTGGCGGTGGGGCCGGGGCCGTGGCGCCCATGGCCGTGGACGGGGTCGCTGGCGCCCCGCCTGGCGGCGGCTGAATGCCGAAGCGACGGCGGTCGCCGTGGCGCCTATGGCACGGCGGGTATAGAATTCACTGCGTAACAGCGACGCGTTGATTCAGCGCGTGACCGCGAGTGGATTGGGGCGGAAACGATTATTGGCAATCTCGGTTCTTGTGCGCTCTCTCTGGGATGGGGGGCCTCGATCGCCCCGCCCCCCCCGCGGGCGAGGCCCCGGGGGGAGGGGGCCTTCGGGCTTCCCGGGGCCGGGGCCCAGGGGGGGGGGCGACCCGCGCCCACGATTGTCAGCGCCTACAGGTGCGTCGGCCCCAATGGAGGTCGGCATGCCTAAATGCATCAAGTGGGCCATTGTGCGCGGTGCCCACCGCTGTCGCGGCCACCTCTGGCGGGGACATGACTTGGTCAATCCCGCCTGGTGGTGCCGCAGTGGCGCTGCGCGATTCGCGCGAGTGATGTGCGGGAACGTGCGGCGGCGATGTCGGGCTGCGTGCGCGATCGAGACACCGCGTTCCTCCCTCTTCCTGGTCGCCCCCCCCCCCCCCCTTCTTGTTTTTCTGGTCGGTCTCCCTCCCGCGCGCGCGGAGCCGCGGGCCCGCTACGACACGCGTCCGCGGATAGAGAAAATCAGCGCCATGGTATGG